ATTCATAATAGCCAAAAGGTGGAAACAACTCAAATGTCCACCAGTTGATGACTGGATAAACAAAATATGGTACATCCATACACAGGAATATTATTCGGCCATAAAAAGAAATGCTGATACATGCTACAACTTAGATGAACCTTGAAAACATCATGCCTAATAGAAGAAGCCAGACACAAAAGGTTACGTATAGTATGATTCCAATTACATAAAATGTCCAGAATAGGCAAATCCATAGAAATAGAGAGATCAGTATTTACTTGGAACACTTGGGACAATAAAAAATAATAAATAAAATTTTTAAAAAAGAAAGAAATCAGAAGTTGCCAGAGGATGAGGAGAAAGGAAAATGATGAGTGGCTGCCAACAGGTACCAGGTTTCTCCCATCCAAGTACTAACCAGACCCAACCGTGCTTAGCTTCTGAGATCAGACAAGATTGGACATGTTCAGGGTGGTATGGTTATAGACAGGTACCAGAGTTTCTTTTTGGGGTGACGAAATGTTCTGGAATTAGATAGCGGTGATGGTTACACAACCTTGTGAATATACAGACATAAGCCACATAATGATGTTTCAGTCAACAACAGACTGCATACATGACAGTGGTCCTGTAACACAGTGGTCCTCAACCTTTTTGGCACCAGGGACTGGTTTCATGGAAGACAATTTTTTCATGGACTGGGGGGGAGGGGGGATGGATTCAGGATGAAACTGTTCCACCTCAGATCATCAGGCATTAGTTAGATTCTCGGAAGGAGTGCGCAACCTAGATCCCTAGCATGTGCAGTTCACAATAGGGTTCACGCTCCTATTTGAATCTAATGCCGCCACTGATCTGACAAAAGGCAGAGCTCAGATGGTAATGCTTGCTCATACGCTGCTCATCTCCTGCTGTGTTACTGGATTCCTCACAGGTCACGGCCCTGGGGGTTGGGGACTCCTGCTATAATATTATAATACCATATTTTTACTGTACATTTTCTATGTTTAGATACACTAATACTTATCATTGTGTTACAGCTGCTTACAGTATTTAGTACAGTTAGATGTTGTACAGGTTTGTAGCCTGAGAGCAATAGGTTATACCATATAACCTAGATATGTAGTAGGCTGTCCCGTCCAGGTATGTGTGATTATACTCTATGATGTTTGTATGACGCATTTCTCAGAACCTACCCTTGTTGTTAAGTGATGCACAGGTACTAACAACTGCTGAACTGTATGTTGTAAAATGATGAGTTTCATGGTATGTGAATTATATCTCAATAGAAAAGAGCATTTATAAAGTTCTTGTTGCTAAATTTATTTACTTTCAGTAAATTTTATTTTAAAAGATGTCTATGGGCCGGGTGCAGTGGTTCATGCCTGTAATCCTAGCACTTTAGGAGGCTGAGGTGGGCGGATCACCTGAGGTCAGGAGTTTGAGACCAGCCTGGCCAACACAGTGAAACCCTGTCTCCACCAAAAATACAAAAATTAGCCAGGCGTGGTGGCGGGCACCTGTAATCCCAGCTACTCAGGAGGCTGAGGCAGGAGAATCACTTGACCCCAAGAGGCAGAGGCTGCAGTGAGCCAAGATCACGCCACTGCACTCCAACCTGGACAACAGAACAGAGCAGGACTCTGTCTCAAAAAAAAAAAAAAAAAAAAGTCTATGTCTTAATGTCTTCATGGTGCTGGGACATAATTGACATTTGAAGCCTTGAATGCCTCTCTCTTTGCAAAGTCATTTGTTACTACTCAGTTACCATCTTACCTCCAATATCCAACTGCATACCAAACCTCTAGCCAGTACTAGAACGCATACTACCGTGCTCTTCCATACTTTAGCACCCGCACACATGCTGTTCCTTCTGCCCAAAAACTTTTGTGCCTTCTGTCCATCTCATCCAAGCCTGTTTTTCAATGCCCAACACAAATGTCACTGGTACCCTGAAACTTCAACTCCTCCTTGCCCCATCTCAGAAAATGTAACTTTCTGTATTCTTCTCTCTGTATATTCCTCTACAGAGGTATTTCTTATACTATAACATAACCACCTTGTCCCATGTTTGTTCTCTTCTTCCGTCTTCATCCCAGACTGGGACTCCAGGGAGGTACAATTTTTTTTTTTTGTGACGGAGTCTCGCTCTGTTGCCAGGCTGGAGTGCAATGGCGTGATCTTGCCTCATTGCAACTTCCACCCCTCAGGTTCAAGTGGTTCTCCTACCTCAGCCTCCCCAGTAGCTGGGATTACAGGTGCACGTCACCATGCCCAGCTAATTTTTGTATTTTTAGTAGAGATGGGATTTCACTGTGCTAACCAGGATGGTCTCGATCTCTTGACCTCATGATCCGCCGGCCTCAGCCTCCCAAAGTGTTGGGATTAGAGGCGTGAGCCACCGCACCCGGCCAGAGGTACAACTTTCTTAGTCAATCTTGAGCACCAGTGTAGTGCTTAGAAGAGGGTAGTGAGAGAAGAGCTGACATTTACTGAATGCCTAAGAAGTTCCGGGCACATAACAATCTTCACAACCATCCTGTGAAGTACATATTACCTTATCCATTTTACAGATAAAGAAACTTGAGTTTTAAGAAAGGTACAGCAATTTTCCTAAGGTCATTCAACCTGTTAAATGATGGAATGGAGGAGTCGAGACCAGATTGGACTTCCGCCTCTTTTTTTTTTCGGAGACGGAGTCTGGCTCTGTCGCCCAGGCTGGAGTGCTGTGGCGAGATTTCCACTCACTGCAAGCTCCGCCTCCCGGGTTCACGCCATTCTCCTGCCTCAGCCTCCCCAGTAGCTGGGACTACAGGCGCCCCCATCATGCCCGGCTAATTTTTCGTATTTTTAGTAGAGACCGGGTTTCACCCTGTTAGCCAGGATGCTCTTGATCTCCTGACCTCGTGATCCACATGCCTCGGCCTCCCAAAGTGCTGGGATTACAGGCCTGAGACACCGCGCCCAGCCCTGTCTTTTTTTTTTTTTTCTTATTTTTGAGATCGCCCAGGCTGGAGTGCGGTGGCGCCATCTCGGCTCACTGCAAGCTCCGCCTCCCGGGTTCACGCCATTCTCCTGCCTCAGCCTCCCCAGTAGCTGAGACTAGGGGCGCCTGCCACCACGCCCGGCTAATTTTTTATATTTGCAGTAGAGAGGGGGTTTCACAGTGGTCTGGATCTCCTGACCTCGTGATCTGCCCGCCTTGGCCTCCCAAAGTGCTGGGATTACAGGTGTCAGCCACCGCGCCCGGCCTTTTTTTTTTTTTTTTTGAGAAGGCATCTCTCTCTGTCGCCCAGGCGGGAGTGCAGTGGCACTATCTTGGCTCACTGCAATCTCCACCTCTCAGGTTCGTGCCATTCTCCTGCCTTAGCCTCCGGAGTAGCTGGGACTACAGGCACCCACCACCACGCCCGGCTAATTGTATTTTTAGTAGAGATGGGGTTTCACCCTGTTAGCCAGGATGGTCTCGATCTCCTGACCTCATGATCTGCCTGCCTCCGCCTCCCAAAGTGCTGGGATTATAGGCATGAGCCACCGCGCCAGGCCGGACTTCTGCCTCTTAAATCCAGGGTTCTCCTGTCACTACAGTGAGGTATTGACTAACATAAGCTATGAGATATCACTGCCTGGGTACATATCCCAGCTCTTCCACTTATCTTTGTGGCTTTACACAAATTAACCTCTTTATGATTGTTTCTTCATTTGTAAAAGGAAGATAATAACAGTGCCTATATATAGGGTTTTATGAAGAGTAAATGAGATAGTAATAGTATATATAAAGCACTTAGAACAGTATCTGGCACATACTAGGTGCTCAATAAATGTTAGCTATGACATTTATTACTGTCCCACATTGAGCTGGTGTTTGTTAAACACTAGATGACTGGATAAAATGTACATCTTTCATGCAGAGATTGCTGGATTATCCATTTCACTGATTCAGGACCAGAGTCTCTGAGGAATCCAGAGAGGGGATGTTAAAGCCCTAAGAAGTAAAAACACTAAAATGATAACATTTTGACCTTTTGAAGACTCTTTGAGGTGGCAATGGCCACAAAATTGAGTGGAAACAAAATATTTTTGCCCCATTTCCAGATAAATTGGATTTGCTAAACCGCCCAGAATAACAAGAGCAAGAATTAGATGTTCAGCTAAGCTCTAGCTTCTGATCCTAGATGGCAATAACAACAATAGTATTAATGATAATTGCAGAAACTCTTGATATATGTGAGGCTTCTTCTAAATGCTTTATATACATTAACAATTTAATGTTCATCGGAGCAGATTCTCCTACTGTATCCAAGACAGCAGAAATTCAGAGCAAAAAGGAGATTGCTGCCTGATAGCAGAGCCACTCTAGGAATGGGGAGATTTTCTCATAAATCCAATGACTGGTAAAAGTGACAAGAGGTTAGTCCACTTAGTGTTGGAAAGGACAAGATCCTAGAAAGTGGAAATGCTCCACTATTGCTTTAGGGGCAACAGCCTGGCTGCAACTGGGAAGACTTTCTATTTCTAATGTCAGGATAATAGGGAAGCTCCTGCCAATGCTGCATAGAACTAAGGACACTTAGCAGTGATGGCTGACTTCCAACTGAGCCATTAAGGTAAATGTAGAAGAAAGCTCCAGGTAGAAATATCTTTGGGAACTCGGAGAACACACTGAGTGTCTGAAGCTGGTACTTAATCTATTATTGAACTCAGAGTTTGCCATTCTGGGGCCAATTTGAGTCCACTTATGACACCTCCCGCAACACTGCTCATTTCTGTTAACTGGACTTCACAGAGGGTGAGAAGGGCAGCAATCAGATCATATAATTGGGCCTCATTGTAATAAAATGTTGATTTCTCTTGTCCTTGGACTTCCTTCCAGCCACAATCACTCTATGATCTTGTCTGGGATTCTTTTTCCTTTCTCTCTCCATTTTGCTGACTGTAATGGAATAATAGCAGAAGCTCTCAATCTGTATGAGGCAAATATATGAAGAATGTGTAACATTGACTGTGTTTCCTAATAGACAAATTATCTAAAGGACATCTCTTAAGAAGAGATGAGATGGAGCCAACTGTGAGAAAAAAAAAATGGGTGAAGAAAGTTTCAAGGAGAAGACTCCATAGAGCAGAATGGGAAAGATGGCCAGGAGAAAAGTGAGATAATAAAAGGAAAAGCAGTTCCTGACACAGAAGGTACTCAACAGCTATTTGCTGACTGAAAGAACAAACACTAATAAGAGAATGAAATACCAGGATTATAAAGAGGGAACAAATATATTTTCCCGTCTACCTTGTTGTTACCCCACCCAGGATATATTTAGATTGGTGCAAAAGTAATTGTGGTTTTTGAATAGTTAATAGATTAACATCTAATTTATGTATTGTTTACATACATATACAAACTACAACCATGTATGATACATTTAAAGTAATACGCTAGGCACAGTGGTGCATACCTATAGTCCCAGCTATTCAGGAGGCTAAGGTGGGAAGAATGCTTGAGCATAGGAACTCAAGTCAGCTTGGGCAACATAGCAAGACCCTGTCTCTAAACAAAGAAAACAAAAAAAGTGAAGTAATTAATGCCAAACATTGCAATCAGGGTTTGGTGTACTTGAAATACACAAATGAGTATTTTTACATGCTGAAGACACAGCAACCAACAACTAGGGCTAAAGTACTGCATTCCTAAAGTTAACCCACAGAGCCTATCATGCCATACCAAAGTTCATTTCTCCGGCTCCAAACCTGGAACTTTCCTTTCCTATTTCCTCTCCCTAACAGCTTAGAGCTACTGGACTCCATCCTTGGACTCCTCTGTTCACTGCAAATGTTCTTTATAAGCTATGAAATCCGGATTTGAGGTCTGGTTTCTTACTTCAACTTTGAAACTCATTTCCCACCCCAAGTTAACACAATTTCAAAATATTCATGAATTTTATGGCTAGACCTAAAGCTTCTTTGTGCCTCCCTGCCAGCCTGCCTTTGTTTTAGTACCTTCTAGCCTGTCCTCACTTGAGTTTTTACTCTAATTTTCCGTCCAGTCATCCCATCACTAGTCCCCTATCAAACTGCTTGCTGGACATTTCTGTATACATACCTTGCTTGTCCTTACGTCAAATTCAAAACCACCAAGACCAAATCCAATTAAGGAAGGAGACCACTACTACTCCTGCTGCCCTCCTCCCCACACCTTGCCTAGTTCACAAGACAGGAGGAAAGAGAGAAAGAAACAAAAGTAAGATAAATAGCCAGACAACCTTGGCACCACCACCCAGTCCTAGGAGTTAAAAAAAGTAATAATAATAACATCAACCCCAGACCTAAACTACTTGTGTTATCTGTAAATCCGACACTGTATGAAAAAAAAAAGCATTGTAAAACTTTTTGTTCTGTTAGCTGATGGATGTAGGCCCGTCACGTTTCTTCCCACGCTTGCTCAATTTATCACGACCCTTTCACGTGGACCCCTTAAAGTTGTAAGCCTTTAAAAAGGCCAAGTATTTCTTTTTCGGGGAGCTCAGCTCTTAAGACGCGAGTCTGCCAACGCTCCTGGCCGAATAAAAAACCTCTTCCTTCTTTAATCCGGTGTCTGAGGAGTTTTGTCTGCGGTTCATCCTGCTACACAATGTGTGTTCCCAAATCAACTCTCCTTCCTCACCTCCCTGGTATGGTTACTGACCAATTAGAATTAATGTTCAACCACTCAGAATGCCATAGGAGGTAGGCCAAATCAGTGTACTGAGTCCAATGTCAGCCCTATCCATAATCCTTCCACCCAGCTAAACTTGGAGGAATTGTCTGTTCTCATAGTCTCCCTTCATCATTGATTTATTCCTTCCATAATCCACACATTTTTAGCCCTCCTTCCTTACCATCAAAATTCCTCCTGACAAGGTCACCAATAGCCTTCTTCTTGCTAAAACCAACGAATTCTTTTTAGTTTTTATTTCACTTGATCATCCTTGGTAACATTTAACAATGCTGACCATTCCCTCCTCCCTGAAACACTCTCCTCAGCTTCTCTGACATTATACTCTTCTGGTTGCAATCCAATCACCTCTGGTGATGCCTTCTCAGTCTTCCCCAAACCTGCTTTTCCTCAGGTTTCTTTTTTTTTTTTTTTTGAGATGGAGTCTCTCGCTCTGTCGCCCAGGCTGGAGTGCAGTGGCGCGATCTCGGCTCACTGCAAGCTCCGCCTCCCAGGTTCACGCCATTCTCCTGCCTCAGCCTCCCGAGTAGCTGGGACTACAGGCACCTGCCACCACGCTCGGCTAATTTTTTTGTATTTTTAGTAGAGACAGGGTTTCACCGTGTTCGCCAGGATGGTCTCGATCTCCTGACCTCGTAATCCGCCCCCCTCAGCCTCCCAAAGTGCTGGGATTACAGGCGTGAGCCACCGCACCTGACCACCTCAGGTTTCTTATCTCAGTGAATGATACCACTATCCCCTAAGCTCCTAAACCAGAAACCAAATTCCTTATTCTTATTTGCTCCTAACATTCCTTCAGTCATTGAATCCTGCTTATTCTTAGTTTGCTTCTCTTCACTGCCTACATTTTTCTTTTTTTCTTTTTTCTTTTTTTTTTAAATGAGATGGAGTCTTGCTCTGTTGCCCAGACTGGAGTGCAGTGGTGCGATCTCAGCTCACGGCAACCTCCACCTCCCTGGTTCAAGCGATTCATCCATTTCAGCCTCCCGAGTAGCTGGGACTACAGGCGCGTGCCACCAGGCCCGGCTAATTTTTGTATTTTTAGTAGAGACAGGGTTTCACCATATTGGCCAGGCTGGTCTCAAACTCCTGACCTTGTGATCCGCCCGCCTTGGCCTCCCAAAGTGCTGGGATGACAGACGTGAGCCACCATGCCCGGCCTTCACTGCCTACATTTTTAAAGCACTTAACCATGTGCTAGGCAGGCGTGTTCTAAGTTATTTAATCCTCGCAACAAGACTGTAAGGTAAATTTTATCATCTCTAGTTTTCAGATTAGGTAACAGAGGCAAAGAGTGGTTAAATAACTTGCATAAGGTCACATAACTACTAAGTGGCAGAGCAGGATTCAAACCCAGGTGGCCTGACTCAATTCTGGGTCCAGGTCACTATTCTATCTCACTGAAATCTCTGCAACAGCCTCCCTGGTTTCCAGCTTTGCATCATGGCTTCCCCGTAGCCACAGTGATCTTTGTTAAAACATAAATCTGACTCTTGCTACTCTTTTGCATGAAATTCTTTACTGGCTCTTTATTACCTTCAGAATAAAGTCTACATTCAATATGACATTCAGGGACCTCCATAACCTAGCCAGAAAGTGTTTACTTCTTTGGCTTCATGTTTTTGGGTTTTGGCCCCATTTTAACCACGACCCTAAAAGCTCCACTAGCACAATGATAGCCTATACTTCCAGGTTTCTGCATTGTTTGATGTGCCAAGAACACTCTTTCCCACCTTCACATTTGACTTCTTCTGATGAGCCTTTTCTGACCTCCTAAGACTAGGGTGTATGCCTCTCCTGTGAGCTCCCACAGCCCCCAGTTCTAATTCTCACTGTAGCATTTATTTCACTGTGTTATTGCCCATCTACTAATATTAATATCTGCTTTATCACAAGATTGTGAGCTTCCTGAGAATGGGAACTGTGTAGGATTCACTGTTGTATCCTCAGTACTCACTGCTGCCTACCTGTGCACGGTACGCAATATTCATTTAATGAATAAAACTTTATTGTCTATATCACACTCTTTAACACTTACTTATATAATGCCCTATATTGATTTTATTTTCATGTGTGTTAGCCTGATCTTTAAAACCAGAATGTCGGTTTCTTGAAAGATAGCAAATATACCCAGTACTTCTTTTATATATTTATTTACTCTTAGGCTGGGCGCAGTGGCTCACGCCTATAATCCCCACATTTTGGGAGGCTGAGGCAGGAGGATCACTTGAGTCCAGGAGTTTGAGGTCGTCCTGTGTATAGTGAGACCGCATTTCTATAAAAAATAAGCAAAATTAGCTGGCATGGTGGCATGTACTTGTGGTCCCAGCTACTCAGGAGAGCTGAGATGGGACGATTGCTTGAGCTCCAGAGGTTGAGGCTGCAGTAAGCCATGATCATGCCACTCCGGCCTGGTGACAGAGCAAGATCCTGTCTCATAAAAGAAAAAAACTATCTTTAGAGATGGGGTATCACTCTGGTACCCAGGATGGAGTACAGTGTCATGATCATAGCTCACTGCAGCCTCGAACTCTTGGACTCAAGAGATCCTCCCACCTTAGCCTCCCAAGTAGCTGGGACTACAGGTCTGTGCTGTCATGCCCAGCTAATATTTTTATTTGTAGAGATGGGGAGGGGTCTCATTATGTTGCCTAGGCTGGTCTTGAACTTCTGGCCTTAAGCAATACTCCTGCCTCAGCCTCCCAAAATGTTGGAATTATAGGCAAGACCCACCATGCCTGGCCTATACCTAGTACAAGTTAGGGGGTACTCACAAAACTTCCTGATAACAATTTATTCAGGCATCAATGAATGTCAACAATCCAATGATTCTGGTAATATTTCTCTCTCTCCCTCCCTCCCTCCATATGAGGAAACTGAGTCATAGTTTAGTAGCTTGCCTAAGATGACATAGCTAGGAAGCAAGAGAGCTGGGATTTGAATCCTGATGTTGGTGCCTGTATTCTTAACCACTATGATAACAGGCTAAGAAAACTAAAATTACAGATGCTAAGTAACTTACCTAAGATCTTTTTAAACATTTAGAAAGTCTTTTTTTTTTTCCTTTGATAGTACGCAAGGAACTAAGATCATAGTGCAGTGCTAAGACTAGAACCCAAGTATTTCCAAAGGCTATGCTCGGCCAGGCATGGTGGCTCACACCTGTAATCCCAGCACTTAGGGAGCCTGAGGCAGGAGGATCATGAGGTCAGGAGTTCAAGATCAGCCTGACCAACATGGTGAAACCCCATCTCTACTAAAAATACAAAAAATAGCTAGGTGTGGTGGCGGGCACCTGTAATCCCAGCTACTCGGGAGGCTGAGGCAGAAGAATCTTGCTTGAACCCGGGAGGCAGAGGTTGCAGTAAGCCGAGATCACGCCACTGCACTCCAGTCTGGGTGACAGAGTGAGACTCTGTCTTAAAAACAAAAACAAAAACAAAACCGAAAGCCTATACTCGTACATTATTTGGTATACCGCTTCTCCTACTTTAAAAGTCAGTACTAAGCTCATACTGGGTGTTAATACATTTTAAAACTGCAAATCCAGTTTACTGAAATTGGAGAATATTGGCCGGGCGCGGTGGCTCAAGCCTGTAATCCCAGCACTTTGGGAGGCCGAGACGGGCGGATCACGAGGTCAGGAGATCGAGACCATCCTGGCTGACACGGTGAAACCCCGTCTCTACTAAAAAATAGAAAAAACTAGCCGGGCGAGGTGGCGGGTGCCTGTAGTCCCAGCTACTCGGGAGGCTGAGGCAGGAGAATGGCGTGAACCCGGGAGGCGGAGCTTGCAGTGAGCTGAGATCCGGCCACTGCACTCCAGCCTGGGCGGCAGAGCAAGACTCCGTCTCAAAAAAAAAAAAAAAAAAAAAGAAATTGGAGAATATCAGATTCCCTTCCAAGAGAGACAGAGTTGTAGCTTAGTGGGTGAATTCACCTTTTATATTGACAGTCTAGTCTTACGAACCAATTAAGTTTGTAGTTTCTGCATTCCTCCTGTGACACCGAAGACTGTGTTTTCATCAATGTGAAAACCATGCTATCTCAGCTAAATCAAAATCCACTCTCATTCAAGAATTTATTCTTCCTTTTATTTCTCAACACCAGTGACATGTTCCCAAGTTCTCTGCCTTTATGGATCCTTAGTTCCCAGTGTGGAATGTCTTATTTCTGAAAGCAACCTGTGATTGACAAGCCTTCTTGGCTATTCCGTAGTTTACCCTAAAAAAAAAAATCCGTTCTCTCTGTCGGCTCTAGACTGCTTTTCCTTACATGGTACTCTGCTTTTCATTTCAAGCATTTATTAAAACTAAACTATGTACCAAGCATACACAAAATGGATGTAACCTAACTCACTGAAGGCACTTTCAAAGAAACAGCCTTGGTGTTTAAATATTTTGACTAGAATATTATTTCCCTAACAAGCTGCATAAAACCATCCCTGTTCAGTTTGTAATTATACACCAAAATATTGAGCACAATCTCAGTAGCTACTTCTATAGCACATCATATAAAGTGAATTGCTGGAGCCAACTCATTAGATCTTACTCCAAAGATTTTTACCAACACCTTGGCCCTCTTTTGCTGACAAAAAGGATTCTTAAGCCTTTTAACAGCTTTATGACTTCCTTATTAGAGCTCACCCACTAACATATACTATTAACAAAATGAACTGCCCATCCTTCTTGGGAAACACTCTGGAGAATATTTCCTGATTTCATAGCACAGCTTTGTCTCTGGATTAGTACGAAACTGAGAATCAAACATCCCTGGAATATTCTGTAAAACATGAATATTATGTTTCACAATGTTGTCTTCAAGGATATGAACAATTCAAAATTTAAGTATTTGAGTAGTACTGTATCATATTATTATTGCTGTGATATTTTCAGAAGAAATCTGAAGTCTGGAGTAAGTCTGGAGTAACTATGGGCCATAAAATATGGCCATCTTGCCCCAATAAATGGAGCCAAGTTCAAATCTGGATCATCAGAAAAAGACAACAGGCACATTTCTAAACCAAATCTGATTGTCTTGAGGAAGGAAGATACTGAACCTGTTAGAGTACATCTCTGAAGGACTGAGAATCAAGTCCTTCATTCCCCCGCCCCCCAAAAAATCCAATCAATCATGCTGATAAATGTCTTAGTTACAGGGGAGAAAAAATAGAGATGACTAAGCCGAAAAACATCTCCTTCTGGCTTTGTATCTTTTCTGGGCAGTGCTGTTCCTGATAAGACACATGACACAAAATATGGTTTTGCTGAATATCAAGGTAAGTTAGGGAAAACGGTAGTTTTTTGAATAGGAAAAATTAGATGACAACAGCAACAGGTAAAGAAGCCTTGGGCTTCTGAGGTAGAAATACTGGCATCCCTACGTAGGCATGGTAGATAATCTGAAAATAGCACAAGTACTGGCCTGTTATAGCCTGTGTCTACCATAAACAGAGGGAAAAGTATTACAATCTAGCAAAAGTAGCCCTTCAAAATCTAAGGAGGAGTATTTCATCAGATATCAATAAATGAACCCTTGCTGCATACAAAGGCAATACATTAGGTGCCGAGTGATCAACTTCAAAGAACCTCCTGCTATTCTGAAATTTAAAACTGTACTCTCATTTCCTCAAGCCTGTATTTTATGTAATGAAACAAAATGCACATCATATATCTCTTGCAGCAGTGTGAGAGTAAACATAGGACCCCTCCCACCAAAAATTGTGCAGAGCCCTTCCCCTTCAGCCTTTTGCTACAGAAATATCCTACTGCTTCCCTAAAAATAGTATATGCTTTATTTAGCAAGTGGAATATCACCCTGTTACTCTCTCCCTTACTCTGCTTCACTTTTTTTTTGCATAATGCTTATGATTACCTGATATTTTACATATTTATCATGTCTCTCCCAATTAGAATATAAGCTTCATGAGGGCAGAAATTTCAAATATTTTGTTCACAGATGTATTTCCAGTATCTAGAACTGTATTTAGCATGTAGCAGATTCTCAAAAATATTTGTAAAATTAATAAAATTTAAAAATCCCTATTATATTGGAATTGTTAAATTAAAAAAAAATTTAAGACAGGGTCTCTCTTTGTTGCCCAAGCTGGAGTGCAGCGGCATGATCACAGCTCACTGCAGCCTCCAACTCCTGAGCTCAAATAATCCTCCCACCTGGCTCCTGAGTAGGTGGGACTACAGGTGAGTGCCACCACACCTGGCTTTTTTTTTTTTTTTTTAGTGATGAGGGTCTCGCTATGTTGCCCAGGCTGGTCTCAAAAACTCCTGGGCTCAAGGGATCCTCCCACCTTGGTCTCCCAAGTGCTGGGATTTACAGGTGTGAGCCATTATGTCTGGCCAAATTTTAAAATTTTGCCATATCTGTGTATGTATATGTGTGAATAAATTTACAGACTCTAGGGTGTAATTCACAGTGTAGAACAAGTCAAGAGGCAGAGGATCCGAAACTTGGGTGGGGAGATAGGAGAGTGATTGCCAAAACAAAGCAATGCATCTTATTACATGGACGAAAGGGATCAAACATTATCAGCAAACTATTTTAAAGAGTGAATTAAATTTATCTCTCTATCCTTTCTTTGATTGTAGTGAATTCAAATTCACCTCAGATTACTTGAATTGACATTAGCTTTCTTCTCTGATAAAGCTTTTAAAATTTAGTAAAGTGGCCAGGCACAGTGGCTCACAACTGTTATCCCAGCACTTTGACAAGCCGAGGTGGGTGGATCACCTGACGTCAGGAGTTTGAGACCAGCCTGGCCAACATGGTGAAACCCCATCTCTACTAAAAAAAAATTCAAAAAAAAAAATTAGCCAGGTGTGGTGGCGCACACCTTTAATCCCAGCTACTTGGGAGGCTGAGGCAGGATAATTGCTTGAACCTGGGATGTGGAGGTTGCAGTAAGCGGAAATGGTGCCACTGCACTCCAGCCTGAGAGACAGAGATTCCGCCTCAAAAAAAAAAAAAAAAAAAAAAAAATTGGAAAGTTGTTTTCCTCCTTATATTACTGCCTGCAAGATCGAAACAGTGTTTCCCATTTCTATTTTGGGATCTGACTGAGTCACAAGGTAGTCTTGGCAAATCACTCTGCTCTCTCTCAGTTTCTTAAGGCTGCCTGGGAACTTGAACTGTCAGCCAAACAGGAAGAAGGGTCCTTCCGCCTAACTCCAAAAGGCCTAAGTCAAATGGATATGCTGAGATTTAATGATGGATATAAATTACAGCAAATGGATTCCCTATAGGGTGAGGGGGAAAAAAAGCAAACATTTTACTTAACTTCCTCTATACAATTCAGGGCTGGCAGAAAGGGCAGACTATTACAATGTAGCTGAGCAAATTTTTCCATGTTTGCATAACATGTGTTTTCAACTAAAGATACTCCTTCTATATTACTGCTATATACAACACCCCAAAAAACCTCAAATGTAAGTAAAGCAATGTGACAGATTTGACGCTGGCCAAGTTACACTGTTTTTGTTTTGTTTTTGTTTTTTTTGTTTTTTTTTAGTGTCAGTGTTCATAAAGGCCCTTTTTCTTTTTCAAGGATGGGGATAAAGTGTTACTTGGCCGGGCACGGTGGCTCACACCTGTAATCCCAACACTTTGGGAGGCCGAGACGGGCGGATCACGAGGTCAGGAGTTCAAGACCAGTCTGGCCAATAAAATGAAACTCCGACTCTACTAAAAATACAAAAAATTAGCTGGGTGTGGTGGTGTGTACCTGTAATCCCAGCTATTCGGGAGGCTGAGGCAGGAGAATTGCAAGAACCCGGCAGTTGGAGGTTGCAGTGAGCCGAGATTGCACTATTGCACTCCAACCCTGGGCGACAGTGTAAGACTCTGTCTCAAAAAGAAAAAAACAAAAACAAAAAAAGTGTTACTCCACTCCCCACCAGATACTCCTATTTTTGCCCCCTATGAGATCATGAATTCCTCCTGGGTGCACAACTCCCTAAAGTGCTCTGTGTTTTATTGCTTATAATTTCCCACATCCCATGATGCCCCTTGATAGAATTATTTTTTCTGTACTCACACAAATGGAAACAGAAGAGATGAAAAACCCTGGGGATGCAGCCTCGCAGGTCTCAAACTGCTAAGCACAACCTGCATATCTCTTGGCTGAGTTCCTTTCTTGGCTCAGAGTCAGATTTTGCATGACCTAGGAGGCTTAGGACCCAGGGGGCGCCTTTCAGCTGAAAAACAGCTCGCGCTGCAGCAAGCTAGCTGGGAAGCTCCCAGTTCTAAAGAGAGGCTGTTTACCAGAAGAGCATAACAAGGGCAGGTCTGACTGCAAGGCTGGGACCGGGAGGCAGAGCCGCCGCAAAGGGGGCCCCAGTTAAACACTGGTCGTTCAATCACCTGCAAGATGAAGGAGGCAAGGATGCTGTTGGCCTGGGTACAAGCATTCCTCGTCAGCAACATGCTCCTAGCAGAAGCCTACGGATCTGGAGGTGAGATTACAATCTTTCCTTTCCGCAGCAACTTCATGAAACAGAAGGGGTAAAGTCCCCCATACAGGGCCAGGATGACAGGAAGCGAAGCGTTTAGCTGGTTTCTGTTGTCCTGTGAAAGCTTTTCCACCCCTCCTTTCCTTGTCAGGGGCTTGCAGCTCCATCTTTGCCATTAAGAACAAAGGCAAGAAGCCACTTTCTCTTTGCCTTTCCTTGCTCATGAGTGGATGGAGCTTGGGGGTTCATCTCCCCTACTCCCCAAGCCCTGTTCTTTCTAAGACCTTTGCATGGTGTGGTCCTCCTTCCCCAGCCTCCTCCTGTGGTTCTCCTGCAGAGGGGAGTGGGAGCTTGGAGTCTCATCCAGTCAGCGATGAGGCCGGTTTCCTCTGTTTGAGGCTCTCTTGAATCTTTTGCCTGACGGAGTCAAGGCTCCTGGAGAATTCTCCTGGGAGAGAGTATTGCCTGTTAAACGGGCAGTAGGTGGCCGTATCCGTGGACGAAGAAACACCGGAGTTTATGTAACTGACCATTACAACACAGGGATAAATGTCACGTCTGGCCGTCCACCGTCCCAAAACTCCCATCTCCTCAAAGGGACCCTAAGCCAGGCCTCCTTCTCTCCATCTCCTCCTCCAAAGTGGTCACAAGTTCAAGAGTAACAACCCTTTACACTTCTGCAGCGCTTTCCGGGTTTCAAAAATAAATAAATAAAACCTAACAGTCTCTGAACGTTGACTAAGGGCCAGGCACAGGCTAGGGGCTTCACAGGCGCTTTCTTTTCCGTCTCTTTCGGGCCGCACAGCAACCCTCTGAGGTGTGTGTAGGGTTGTGGGGAGGGGGCGGAGGGCGTGGGGTGTTGCCAGGAGAGGAGAGGGAGGCCCAGCAGGGCCCAGGGTCCCCTAGCCAGGCTGGGGCTCGGCCCGGGTGGTCCCAGCTCCCCTGCCCGCCACGCTGGGCGTCTTCCCTTCGCTGCCCGCTACTCTGTGTCCGGGGGCTTCTCTTCCCACAGGTTGTTTCTGGGACAACGGCCACCTGTACAGGGAGGACCAGACCTCCCCCGCGCCGGGCCTCCTCTGCCTCAACTGGCTGGACGCGCAGAGCGGGCTGGCCTCGGCCCCCGTGTCGGGTAAGTGTCCTCCGGAGGATGGCGCCGGGGCTGGCGGGCGGCAGCCGCGGTCCAGGTCCCAGCCCCAGCACACATTTCCTTCTCTTCCCTCTTAGGCGCCGGGAATCACAGTTACTGCCGAAACCCGGACGAGGACCCGCGCGGGCCCTGGTGCTACGTCAGTGGCGAGGCCGGCGTCCCTGAGAAACGGCCTTGCGAGGACCTGAGATGTCCAGGTACCTACCCGGGACCCCGGGAATCCCCGCTCCTGGGGCTGACAGGGAGCGGCGGACAACCGCCGCGCACGTGCAGCCGCGCGATGCCGGCCGGCCCCGCTCCGCCTTCGCGCCGTCCGATTGGCCAGGGCTGTCTCCAGGCCACGGGGCTCAAAGCCCATTGGCCACCGCCGCCACTCGTATGAGCTCATCTGCGGCGAGCGCTTGTAAACAACGGCGCGGGGCGAGGCTAGGTTTTTCCGCCGTGCGCCCGGAGGAGTGGCTTTTGGACCTTCAGCGTTTGTTGACCGTTTGCTGAGGGTCTGCAGTGCGCTAGACCCACACTGCTCACAACCCCCGCTCCCCCACCTCCCCCGACACACATCGCGGGAAGAAGCCGTTTGGGAAGAAACCGTTTGGGGGATTTGAGCTTCAGAGAAGTTAAGCGATTGACCGAAGGCAGTGGCAGGGGACAGATTTGAATTCACATTTCTTAGATTCTAGAGCGCAGGCTTTTTGCTCCCAAAGCAGCAAGACAGTTTTCTAGGATTAAATGGGATAATCAAAGTAAAGCTTTTTTTTTTTTTTTTTTGAGTCGGAGTCTCGTTCTGTCACCCAGGCTGGAGTGCAATGGCGCGATTTCGGCTCACTGCAACTTTCGCCTCCGGCGTTGCAGTGATTCTCCTGCCTCAGCCTCCTGAGTAGCTGGGATAACAAGCGTGCACCACGACGTCCAGCTAATTTTTATATTTTTAGTAGAGACGGGGTTTCACCATGTTGGCCTGGCTGCTCTCAAAGTCCTGACCTCAGGTGATCCGCCCGCCGCCCGCCTGGCCTCCCAAAGTGTTGGGATTACAGGCGTGAGCCACTGCTCCCTGCACAAAGTGAAGCATCTCACCTAAGGATTGGCACAGAGCATACGCTTAGATGTGAGCTGCTCAGAGGAAGCATGGGTTGTTTCCTGGAGTGGAGATGGGGGGAATCCCCTGCAGAAGACGGCAACCGAGAGGGGCCTTGAGAAATAGCAAGGATTTGTACAGATAAAGACGTGGGATGCAGGAGAGAGGCCCTTCCCTACGGCCTTCCCCTTTCATTTGTCTTGTCCCCGAGATGGTTCAGTCCTCTCAGGCTTGATCTTGCTTCTAGGGCAGAGTTTGACTTTGGGTTGTGTGTGGGGGGACGTTCTTAGGTGACCCACCTACATGTCCCCTAACACTCGGACCAGGTTCAGCTGTGGAATTCACTCAGGGCAGTCCCTGATGAGAGCTGTTTCCCACCTCATCTCCAGAGACCACCTCCCAGGCCCTGCCAACCTCCACGACAGAAATCGAGGAAGCGTCTGAAGGGCCAGGTGTAGATGAGATGCAGGTGTTCGCTCCTGCCAACACCCTGCCCTCCCGGAGTGAGGCGGCCGCTGTGCAGCCAGTGATTGGGATCAGCCAGCGGGTGCGGATGAACTCCAAGGAGAAAAAGGACCTGGGAACTCTGGGTATGACGGTCCCCCACCCCTGCCCTTGTTGGGATTCATCAAGAGATGTCATTTGCTGATTGGGGTGTGGCTAATGGGACCTTGTGTCCTGTCCTTGGCAGGCTACGTGCTGGGCATTACCATGATGGTGATCATCATTGCCATCGGAGCTGGCATCATCTTGGGCTACTCCTACAAGAGGTCAGTAGCTTCTCTTCTGGGCCCTCTTGAGAGGAGGAGGGGAGGAAGGTACACAAAGTCAAATCAAACTTTGTGGCTTTCTTTCCCAAAAGGAAGCAAGATGTTGAAAATCAGCTCAAGATGTAGAGACTTGGTCCTAGTCTTTATCCGCTGACCTTGGACAAACCCTTTCCTTTGGTGCCTTTACACCTCACTTAAAAGCCTTGTGAGGTATCTTCTTGTTCCCCATTTTACAAACGAAGAAGCCTCTGTCAGAGACTTGCTCAAAGTCACACTGCCTGGGAGTGGCAGAACCTGGATTCAGACCCAGCTGTTTTGATAGCAAATTCCCTGCTGTCTGATCCAACATGCCTGGCATTGAAGCGAGTGGCACTGCAGAAATCAGGCTGGACACTGATTGCAGGGACCTTAAGACCGAATTCTTTCTGTGAGTTATAAAATTCTGCTACTAGAAAAGGTTTCCAGCCACTGTTTTTGCAGTTGGGGCTTAAATTTCCTGAGCTATAAGCAGTGGGATCTCCTCTGCTAGGGAAGAAAAAAGTGAGATGGAGAACAGAAAGTCTGTTTGCCACTCTTCACCACATGTGAGAAAGCCAAAGAGGTGACCTATGAAACTCAAGGACATGACCTGTGGCTGGGGCAGCAGAAGAATGCTTATTTGAAAGGTCCCACGAGATGCCCATCAGTGACTGGTGAATGATGGTAAGCCAGACTGGCATTTGTCTTTACATCACTGGCTGATTCTGGAAAATTAGTTGCTATTCTTGGGCAAAATCAGGGGATTTGACCTCTAGCCTTGGGTGTCTGTAATATTCTCCTCTATGGTCTGAGAAATCTTCCTATGAGGAAAGTGACACAGTAGCCTGCATTTATTTATTTATTTAATTTCCTTCCTTCCTTCCTTCCTTCCGTCCTTCCGTCCTTCCTTCCTTCCTTCCTTCTGTCCATCCGTCTCCTTTCCTTCATTTCTTTGATTTTTTTTTTTCAGGGTCTCGCCCTATTGCCTAGGCTTGAGTGCAGTGGTGCGATCACGGCTCACTGCAGCCTCAACCTCCCAGGGCTCAAGTGATTAACCCCACCCACCCCCACCGAGTAGCTGGGACTACAGGCATGTCTCACCATGCCTGGCTGATTTTTAAATTTTTTGTAGAGACAGGGTCTCACTATGTTGCGCAGGCTAGTCTCAAACTCCTGGGCTCAAGTGATCCTCCTACCTCAGCCTCCCAAAGTGTGTAGGCATGAACCACCATACCTGGCATGCAGCCTGCATTTTCCAGTGGTGAGGGCCATGTCTGAGCCCACAGCCTCAGTGGATCACCCAGCAGGGCATCTTTAGAGGCCTTGTAGTCAACCTCTTCATTACAGATGAAAAAGGGGAAGTTTGGGTATAATAATAACAGCAGTAGCAAACATGTACCATATGCCAGACACTGCTTCAAGCACATGCTTTAACTCAATTCTCATAATCACCTTTATGAGGTAAATGTTATTATCTCCAGTTTACAGATGAGGAAACTGAGGCAAGAGGGGATTATATACTTTACCTGAGGTTACACACCTAGCATTTGGTGGAGAGAAGTCCTCTAACTAGCTATCTCTGTGACCCTGGGCAAATTGCTTCAATTTCCTACTCCACATCATTGTGTGAAGCTAAGGCTTGTGACTACTTAGCTCAGGGTGTGGCACATAGTAAGTGGTCAGTAAATGATAGCTATTTTTCTTTTCTATGAAATGTGTGGCTGGGCGTGGTGGCTCATGCCTGTAATCCCAGCACTTTGGGAGGCTGAGGCAGGCGGATCGTGAGGTCAGGAGTTCGAGACCAGCCTGGCCAACATAGTGAAACCCCATCTCTACTAAAAATACAAAAAACTAGCCAGGCATGGTGGCGGGCACCTGTAATCCCAGCTACTTGGGAGGCTGAGGCAGAAGAATTGCTTGAACCTGGGAGGCGGAGGTTGCAGTGAGCTGAGATTGTGCCACTGCACTCCAGCCTGGGCGACAGAGCGAGACTCCATCTCAAAATAAATAAATAAATAAAAAATGTGGGTAATGGGCCAGGCGCAGTGGCTCATACCTGTAATCCTAGCACTTTGGGAGGCTGAGGCAGGTGGATCGCTTGAGCCCAAGAGTTCGAGAACAGCATGGGCAACATGGCAAAATCGTGTCTCTACAAAAAAATACAAAAATTAGCCAGGCATGGTGGTGGGCGCCTGTAGCCCTAGTTACTAAGGAGGCTGAGGTGGGAGGATCACCTGAGCCTGGGAGGTCAAGGCTGCGGTGAGCCATGATTGTGCCACTGTACTCCAGCCTGGGTGACAGAGTGAGATCCTGTCTCAAAAAAAAAAAAAAAAAAAAAAAAGTGGGTAATGGACTAGTGCTGTCTGATTTCTTGTGATGCAGGAAGCAGAGGTCCAGAGAGGGAAAGCATTGACTTGAGAGGACATCCTGACTCCCAGTCTGAGGTTGTTTCCCACAATGGGATGGTTGACATGGCAGGTCCAGGGACACCTGCTTATTCATTTCAGAGTTAGTGATGTTGTGGCTCTAGCCTTACAATTCATAAGCAGACCTAAGCCACACTGGCTGAGTTTAGTCCTTGAAAGATTTCCTTTTTCCCCAGCCACTTGACAGCATTCGGCTGTCCTGCAATCCTGTGACAGTTTCCAGGCCTTCCAGGTGCTTGAACTGACTAAACATTCTTAATTCTTTTTTTTTTTTTTTTTTTTTTTTTGAGACAGAGTCTTGCTCTGTCGCCCAGGCTGGGGTGCAGTGGCCGGATCTCAGCTCACTGCAAGCTCCGCCTCCCGGGTTTAGACCATTCTCCTGCCTCAGCCTTCCGAGTAGCTGGGACTACAGGCGCCCGCCACCTTGCCCGGCTAGTTTTTTTTTTTTGTATTTTTTAGTAGAGACGGGGTTTCACCGTGTTAGCCAGGATGGTCTCGATCTCCTGACCTCGTGATCCGCCCGTCTCGGCCTCCCAAAGTGCTGGGATTACAGGCTTGAGCCACCGCGCCCGGCCAACATTCTTAATTCTGAGCTCAGTTCTGGTGCCCAGTGGAAGTCTTTTTCTTCTAGATTTGTTCCTCTAGGCTGTCATGAGACTGCCCTAAGGCCTAAAATTTATTTTCCTATAAACTCAGGGCAGGGCACCCAGTCACCAGACTCCCTGTCACTAACGACCAGATCACTCCTTTCCTCAGCAGAACTGCTCTCAGAACAGACTGTACCACAGGAAACCGCATGTGGGCTAAAAACAAGCTTGCAGCCTCCATTTCTTCCTAAAGTCAGAGAGCAGAGTGTCCTGAAAAGAGCTGTAGGGTTCAGGTGTCCTCTGAGCCTTGATATCTTGTCTGTTAAATGGGGATACATCCCCCCTTCACACCCACCCATCTAAGATTATTATAAGTATTAAATGTAAACAGAAACAATAGCACACCAATCAGGTAATAATCACAATAGCAGCCAACATTTATTTCATGCTTTCTTAATAAGTAAGGCCCTACTGTATTATCTTTTTTTCTTCCCTGATTATCTTTTTTTTGAGACAAAGTCTCGCTCTGTCGGCTCACTGCAACCTCCGCCTCCTGGGTTCAAATGATTTTCCTGGCTCAGCCTACCGACTAGCTGGGATTAGAGGCACCTGCCACCATGCCCTGCTAATTTTTGTATTTGTAGTGGAGATGGGTTTCACCATGTTGGCCAGGCTGGTCTCGAACTTGTAACCTCAGGCAATCCACTCGCCTCGGCCTCCCAAAGTGCTGGGATTACAGGCATGAGCCACTGCAGCCAGCCTCCTGATTATCTTGACTAAGCCTCACAACCACACTAGGAGCACTGTTACATCATTTTACAGTGAGGAGCTGAGACCTAACAGAGTTAAGTACAATGGCCAGGCTACGCAGCTAGTAACGTATGTCTGAGGATTATCAGTATCTCCAACAAGTCCAGCAAGGCCCAGTAGCCTCATGTAAATTTGCTTTGAATCACAAAGGACAGTAGGAAAAATAGAAACTTTAAAAAATAAGGCTGGGTTTAAAGTCAGAAGAAACAAGATCTAGTTCTGGAACTTTCACATATTCTGGATGTTACACTGGACAAGTTATTTACCTTCTCTGGACTTCAATTTCTTCATCTGTACTGTAAGGGGGTTAGATATGATGATCCTCCCAACTCTATTTCCTAAAAAGACAGTATTGCTGGTGGTAAGACTGGGTTCAAATTCCAGCTCTGCCATTTGCTTAAAGAGTGTAACTTCTCTGCATCTGCCTTCCTATCTATGAAACAGGTCAAAATAGATACCACATAGGTTGTGAGGATGAAATTGGACAGTATAGTTTAGGCATACAATTGGTGTTCCATAACCTGGGAGAGGAAGTTCGAGGCAGCATACAGTAGGGCCTTACTTATTAAAGCAGGAAATAAATGTTGGCTGCTCTTATGATTATTACCTGTAGCTGCCTTGGGAGCTTTTCCTGAGCAGCAGTGTGGCACAGCACTGCTTCTGACAGGGAAAATAGCAGCTCAGAGTAATAATTGAAGAAGACCCATGTAGTCTGAACGAGGTCTGTGGTGCTTCCATACTCTGGGAGAGGAAGTTGGAGGCAGGCAGCAGCTTCATCTACACCTGCTCTCTCTGGCCAGCTGAGCTCCCAGTCCCACCCTGGCCTTGGAGCAAGCAGTCAGGGTAGGTACTGTTAAGCTTTGAGCTCTGCCAAAGGCCATGAGGCTTGCCTAATGGGACGGAGCTTTTCCCTGGCTGGGAAGGGTGGGCAGGCACCAGGCTTCGTCTTAGGGGAGGAAGGGCTGTAAATGGGGGTGGGTGGGAGCTCAGCCTGGCTGGTTCTTTGTCCTGGTAGTCTAGGCCACGAGGTTCAAACAGCCAGTCTGTGACTGAGGAGCTAAGTGTAGTGTCTGCACTAGCTTCAGGGGGAGGTCTTATTTAAAAAGGGGAGGGAAAAACTGTAGGTCAACACCACTCCACCCTCTTAGGAGAGGAGCTAAGTCAGTGAATAAGCCTTTTGTTCTTTCTTGGCTGCCACACAACACCCCGGCTAACCAGCCCCTACCCCAAGCAGTGAGAAGAGGCTAGGCTGCCTGATGGTCAGTGTAGCGGGCCTAGTGGCCTCTCAAAGGTCTCCCGAAGGAGCTGGGAGCAGTCACTGCACCTCCAGGACTCAAAGGTACCATTAACAGCAGGCACATAGGATTGAGTGTGCTTCCGGGCTTGTAAATGGTAAGACTAATCCAGACTAGTCCCAGCATCTGCTTCCTTTACCCTTGACTGCTCTTCCAGCCCTGCTCTGCCCCATTAATACAAATTGATTTTTTTTCCCTGAAGACTTGTATATGATGCAGCCTGGCCATTATCAGCAGCTCAGCTGGCCACAGGTAAAGGAGGTTGCTGAGGAAAGCAGGGTGCCAAAGTTAAACTCAAAAGCCTCAGTTTCTTCATCTATAAAAGGGGGATTAGGCTGGGTGCGGTGGGTCACGCCTATAATCCCAGCACTTTGGGAGGCGGAGGCGGGTGAATCACCTGAGATCAGGAGTTGGAGATCAGTCTGACCAACATGGAGAAGCCCCATCTCTACTAAAAATACAAAATAAGCTGGGCGTGGTGGTGCATGCCTGTATTCCCAGCTACTCGGGAGGCTGAGGCAGGAAAATCGCTTGAACCCGGGAGGCGGAGGTTGCGGTGAGCCGAGATCACGCCATTGCACTCCAGCCTGGGCAACAAGAGGGAAACTGTACCTCAAAAAGAAAAAAAAGGGGGATTATAGCTGGGCATGGTGGTTCATGCCTCAAGAGGCGGGAGGATCCCTTAAGGCCAGGAGTTTGAGATCAGTCCTGGCAACATGGCAGGACTGATCTACAAAAAAAAAAAAAAAAAAAAAAAAAAAAAAAAAGACATCCAGCATGTGCATAGGTAGCTCTTTTCATCCTGGATGATGGGAAGGCCATTAGGCCATTTCCTGGCACCTTAGTACATACTTAGGAAATGTGAATTCCTGCTTTCCCTCTTACTCCAGCCCCTTAGATTTTGAAATTCAAACCTCGGCAAAAGATACTTGTATATTCCATTTTTTTTGTAAATTGCCTTTTGGTCTTCCACAGGCTTAAGGACTCCCTTAATAAAATTAAACCCAGACCTTCCAGATTTCTCCCTACATGAGCAGCCTTGAAGAAACTGGCTTTTATTATGGAGGTGTTTCCTTCTACATGGTAGCAGCTGTGCTGATGAACAGTGCTCAAGGCTAGTGAATCTCAGGATGTGAGTCAAGGAGGCTTTGATACAGACCACCCACCCACGAACACTGTCCCTTCATTTTCCCTCTGGGTGCTCTGCGAGTTTTTCTGCTGTGGCAATTGATGGTGTCCAGTACAGAAGCTAATGAGAAGGATAGGGCAGGAGCCTCAGGTTTGCATGTTCAGAAACCATCACCCAGGGTGATTCAGGAGGATGAGCTCACAGATTTGCCTCCTCTGACCTTACAGGGAGAAATAGAGAATCAGCATATGTCATGTGAAGAATTTTACAGTGTCAGGGGCCCTGGAGATTATCAAGTCCAACTCCTTTTTTCACAGATGATGAAATTAAGGCCCAGGGAAGAAGGGATTACTGGTGTCACATAAACAATACTTGATTTGGCTGGTCAGTAAGAGAATTTCCTCGGAAAATCAAATTAAGATAATGTTGCTTGATGGGTCACGTCATAATTCAGGGCAAATCATAATAACCTCTTAGGATTTTTTCTTTTTTTTTCTTTTTGAGACAGCGTCTCACTCTTGATGCTCAGGCTGGAGTGCAGTGGCGCCATCACAGCTCACTGCGTCCTCGATTTCCCAGGCTCAGGTGATTCTCCTACCTCAGCCTCCCGACTAGCTGGGACTACAGGTGTGCGCCACCACAACTGGTTAATTTTTTATTTTTTGTAGAGCTGGAGTTTTGCCATTTTGCTCAGGTTGGTCTAGAACTCCTGGGCTCAAGCAATCCTCCCTCCTCAGCTTCCCAAAGTGTTGGGATTGCAGGTGTGAGCCACCATGCCTAGTCCCTTTATGAATTTTTATAGCAGTTTCACTATTTTCAAAGTGCTTTCACCTTCATTATCATATTTTGAGGCATATATTGTCTCCATTTCACACATGAAGAAACCAGAGGTTGTTTTGCCAAGTATCACACAGCTAAGGCTGAGCTGGTACTAGAATACAAGGAAGGAGAACTGGACGGTTTAAAAACAGGTCTGAGATACCTTCCTCCTCTATCCTCTTCCCTCCCCCACTCCTTTTCCCCAATATTCTTCCCCAGTCTCTAGAAGTCATTCTATTGAACATCCTGATGGATGTGTAATCCATTTGATCTTAGCCATGCCCCTGAGATGTGAAGCAGGCCCCTGTGTTGTTTCAGTCATCCATCAACTGCTCCTGGGAAGAAGCTCTTTCCTCCAACAGCTGGACCCATGTCTAGTTGCTGGCTTTGGAGGATGCTCTCTTGGGTTCTGAGTGCTGGTTCTGGTGTGCAGTGTGCCAGGCACTCATCAAGCCCTCTAGTCAGCACTAGCGGTGGCCTGGTCCAGTGGGAAGGACCCTACCTGTGCAGACAGAAGACTGGGTTTGAGTCCCTGCTCCACCATTTTTTGTGGGGTGAATTTGGTCAGGTCAGAACTTCTCTGAGCATCAGCCAGAGACATGGATTTGAGCCCACCACATCCTTGGAGAGTGTTCTTAACATCTCTAGGCCATTTCTTTCTCTATAAAATGAATAAGCCCTAATTCTTAGGGTTGAGCTGAGAATGATGTGGGATTAGGTGTATTAAGTCCCTAGCATGGAATGAGCACTCCGTGAGTAAAATGGAGTTATACCGTGGTTTGACCGGGTCAGTGAGCACCATGAAAATTCAGAGGTATGTGAAAACTCTGAGAGGTCTGATGACATTGTTTCATTGTTTCCCATTGACCCAAGCAGCCCTCAGTCCTTTTTGCCCCCTGCATGGGTTAGGGATGGTCCATTTCCAGCCTGGGCTCACACCTTCTGAGACTTAAGGATAAGAAGGCTGTCTCACAGCAGGATGATCAGGCCAGTTTTCTGGACAACTTTATAGGTTAGGTCCAAAGTTCAGATAGTTCTCAGGGTCTCTGGGAGCCCTGGGCTGAAAGAACAAAACTGTGTCTTGCTTTAAGAGTCTCTGTCTGGCCAGGTGCAGTGACTTATGCCTGTAATCCCAATACTTTGGGAGGCAGGAGGCTGGCTTGACCCCAGTAGTTTGAGACCAGCCTGTGCAACATGTTGAGACCCTGTCTCAATAAAAAAAAAAAAAAAAAGTCTCTGTCCTCTACTTTATTTTCACTGAGTCCTGGTGAAGCTGTAGGAAGTCCATACTGCTGTCACCCTGTTTTACAGATGAAGAACCTAAGACCAGAGGTGCAGGAGCTTCTTACTGAGTTAAACGCAGTCTTGCAGAATGGATATCTTAGTATCCTGGACCTGAGTTTGAGTCCTGGCTCAGCCACTGATTTGTTGTGATGATGGCAAGCTGCTGCTACTGCTGAACCTCAGGGATGCCATCTAATGAGCAAAACTATGCAGGAGGCATAGCCTGAATTTTTTTTTTTTTTCCTGCCAGGGGGAAGGATTTGAAAGAACAGCATGATCAGAAAATGTGTGAGAGGGAGATGCAGCGAATCACTCTGCCCTTGTCTGCCTTCACCAACCCTACCTGTGAGATTGTGGATGAGAAGACTGTCGTGGTCCACACCAGCCAGACTCCAGTTGACCCTCAGGAGGGCAGCACTCCTCTTATGGGCCAGGCCGGGACTCCTGGGGCCTGAGTCCCCTCAGTGGGCAGGAGCCCATGCAGACACTGGTGCAGGACAGCCCACCCTCCTACAGCTGGGAGGATCTACCACTTTGTGTTCTGGTTAAAACCCTACCATTCCCCCTCCTTTTTTGGTGAATCCTAATAAGTGACAGAAGCAGATGGCACTGTGGGCTGAGGGTAAGGCTGGGCAGGGTCCTAACAGTGCTCCTTCTCCATCCCTTGGAGCAGATTTTGTCTGTGGATGGAGACACTGGCAGCTCCCACAGTGATGCTGCTGCTAAGGGCTTCCAAACATTGCCTGCACCCCTGGAGCTGAACCAGGGATAGATGGGGAGCTCCCCCAGGCTCCTCTGTGCTTTACTAAGATGGCCTCAGTCTCCATCATGGGCTTGAGTGGCATACACTGTTATTCATGGTTAAGGTAAAGCAGGTCAAGGGATGGGATCGAAAAAATATGTTTAGTTTTTAAAATATTTGGGATGGAACTCCCTACTGACCTCTGAGAACCAGAAGTGAGTCTGTACAGAAGTCAGAAATTTTGGGTTGAGAATGAGATCTAGGTTGTGCTGGTATGCTCCAGCTTGCTAGCAATGATGTGCCTTGACAACTATGGGCCAGGCCTGGGCCCAGGGACTCTTCCTGTTTCACAAGGAAAGGAAGGGAAGAATTGCACTGAGCATTCCACTTAGGAAGAGGATAGGGAAGGATCTGCTCCGCCTTTGGCCACAGGAGCAGCTTTGGCCACAGGAGCAGAGGCAGACCTGGGATGCCTGTTCCTCTTCAGGGATGGATAGTGACCTGTCTTCATTTTGCACAGGTAAGAGAGTGGTTAGCTAACCTATGGGAATTATACTATGGGGCCTTATGAGCTGCTTCTAAGAGGTTAACCTGGAAACTAAGCTCAGAGGCAAGATAATAAAGCACTTTAGGGCTTGCTCCTGAGTTGGGCTTGATTTAGCAGGTGGTCCTGTGGGCCTCCAGGCCAGCACCTTCCTGTAGGGCAGTGGGGCTAGGGTCACAGCCCCTAACTTACAAAACAATCAAAGAATCATTAGAAAGGGTTCATTAAACCTTTTGGACACAGGGCCTCAGAGAGGAAAAAGTGACTTGCCCAAGGTCATAAGCAAGCTACTGGCATGGCGAGAGCCCAGCCTCCTGACTGAGTGCAACATTTCTCCACTGCACTGTGGTAGCAGCTCAGCAGGGCCTCTAAGCCTTGATGTCACACTCGAAGGCCTGGCAGCCCCTGGCCATAGAGCTTCCTTTTCAGAGCCCTTCCACTGCCCAATGTGGAGATGGGGGTTAGTGGGGCTTTCTATGGAGCCATCTGCTTTGGGGACCTAGACCTCAGGGGGTCTCTTGGTGTTAGTGATGCTGGAGAAGAGAATATTACTGGTTTCTACTTTTCTATAAAGGCATTTCTCTATATACATGTTTTATATACCTCATTCTGACACCTGCATTTAGTGTGGGAAATTGCTCTGCATTTGACTTAATAAAAAAAAAAAAGACTCCACATTGCCAAATTTTTGAGAGGTAATAGGAACATTCCCTATAAGTTGAGAAGCTTTGTGTTACCTTGTTAACACCTGTGTGGCAAGCTCTGGGCCTTTTCTTCATTCATCCTGGCCCTGTTACTAGAAGGTGACAACTGCAGCCTGTGTCCAGATTTTTTTTTTTTTGAGATGGAGTTTGGCCCTTGTTGCTCAGGCTGGAGTGCAATGGCGTGATCTCGGCTCACTGCAACCTCCGCCTCCTGGGTTCAAGCGACTGTCCTGCCTCAGCCTCTGGAGTAGCTGGGATTACAGGTATGTGCTACCATACCCAGCTAATTTTTGTATTTTTAGTAGAGACGGGATTTCACCATGTTGGTCAGGCTGTTCTTATTTGATCTCAGGTGATCCACCAGCTGAGGCCTCCCAAAGTGCTGAGATTACAGGCTTGAGCCACCGTGTCCAGCTTCTGTGTCCAGATTATTATCATCAGGAGTCTTTCAGGTTAAAGCTGCAGGAAGGACAGGTGTGCAGGCCTCCCAATAAGGTGGCTGGTGGATCCCCTTCAGCATTGTTTCCAAGGTGGAGGTAGCTAAAATGAGTATCTAGACAGCCTTTGTCAAAGTCTGGAACACAGCAGGGGTTGAGGGGTGGGTGACGGGGATGGTGTTGCAGCAGCCAAAGGGGGAATAACCGCAGAGGAGGAAGGGTCACTGGGCTGCCTGCAGCAGCCCTGGGCTGAGGAAGTTCCCTGCAAGGTGACTACTATGGCTACAGAAGGAAAGATACCAACAGGTGTGTCTCCTGGACTTTTACCAAGGGATTTCAGCCACAGGTTCTCAGCCTCAGGAATACCCAGATGAACTCTGTCCATGCCCAGCCATTGCTCTGTGGTTCTGCCAGCAATGCGTACTCCAGATCATTAGTTTTTTTTTTTTGGGAACCAGATTCTGTCCTTAAGTTGGATTCTTCAAACTTTGAGAGTGCCTGGGAGAAATCACCTTTGGGTTTACAGATTTATATTGTGCCCAAGGCCCCACTAACCAGATAGCATTGTCCTTCCCAGTGGTTACTCCACAACATCCCCCATATGCGGAAGCAACAAGAAACAGGTCTCCTCTCAAGCACTTGTAGGGAAACACAAGGGGTGGGGTGACTTGCATTCATTTCTTCCCATGACAAAGGTGGCACCTAGCACTGAGGAAAGCAAGCCAGGATACCCAGGCTATAGAAGTATTCATATAAAGAGGATGAAAGGGTAGGGCCCCTAAGGAATGACTCAGCTGGCATGTGAGACCCAAGCCAGAAGGTCATAGTCACACTTGCTGCAAGGAAGGGGCTGCCTCAGGTGGGATGTACATATTCTCTAGAGCAGATGGGTGTCTACTTGAGGGTTTTAGACTTGGGTGCATGAAAACTCTCTATGGGGAGTTTGTGTGGGCTAGGCCAGAAGGTGGCTAGCAGACCCTCTACATTTACGTCCCTGAGCCAGACATGTTTTTACTTTCCATATTGCCAGGTATGTTAACTGCTTTAACTGCTTAATTTATTTAGTTTGATCAATGGCCCCGTTCAGGCCCACCACTCCTACACTTGCTGGGGACAGCTGGGAAACAACCAGCCACACAATGCTGAACTGTGCTGCTGCTGGGAGTTCAGGGCTCAGTCCTACAGCAAGCTTGCAAACTTCACACAGAAGTACAGTCTATATATCAAGTAAACTCTGACCAGAGATGACATCTGGTCCCACAACTCATCAGGTCTATGTACAATATTTCACATACCACCCAATAGATATAACAAGAAGATAATATTAACAGCAACCACTCCTTTATCAATTCCCCCTGCTCCAATACAACCACCACACATTGCATTAATACACCAAACCCTTTCCCAATTTATTAAATATGGTGCAACCTCACATACACTTAGAAGAGGCAAATCTAGTTGTGATGAAGAGTTCCTAGAGCTCTGGGAGCCAAGATGGAGGTTTTCTAGTACCTGCAGATGTGGCTCAGGAGGATGCTGCCCAGGAGCTCATGAGCTGGGAGAGCAAACATGGGAGGTAGAAGTCAGATGGCCCAGCTCAGGGAGCTGTCTCTCTCAGCATCTTAGCTTTGGGACTCTGCCACCACCTCTTCCCAGCCCAAGCTGCTGCCTAAACCAGGCATGCTGAAGGGTGAGCAATGGTTGCCATGAGGCCAAGACCAAGAGATTGCTGAGATTCCCACTCCCCTCCCTCAGACTCTAGGCCTGTGACAAGCTACTATCCTCCAGAACCCATCTAGCTTTAGGCAAAATGTCTTAGGCATCTGACTAAGGAGCCCACCAGAGTATGAGTAACAGAAGCCAAGATCTGAGCTTTCTATTCTTTTTTTTTTTTGAGACGGAGTCTCGCTCTGTCGCCCAGGCTGGAGTGCAGTGGCGCAATCTCGGCTCACTGCAAGCTCCGACTCCTGGGTTCACGCCATTCTCCTGCCTCAGCCTCCCGAGTAGCTGGGACTACAGGCGCCCGCCACTGCGCCCGGCTAATTTTTTCTATTTTTAGTAGAGACGGGGTTTCACCATGGTCTCGATCTCCTGACCTTGTGATCCGCCCGCCTCGGCCTCCCAAAGTGCTGGGATTACAGGCGTGAGCCACCGCGCCCGGCCTGATCTGAGCTTTCTAGAGTGCAGGGCCTCTTTCTAGTCCCCTAGCCTCTTCCTGTGCTTGTGACTGTTGCAGACAGAAAGGATGTTGCCTGTTAAGTTCTCAGCCAGTTTCCAGTAGTAAGTTGAAAACATGAGGTGGAGGCTTCCCCTCACATTGATGTGGGCCCTGGGCTGGTTAGAGCCAGTGAGCAGGTAAACAGAAGTCAGCCCTTTCTCTAACTCCTGGCCTGTTCTACCACATATTAAGGGACTCTTCAAGACCTACTCCCTCAACCTTGCTCCAGGAAGGGCAGGATCTGGAGTGGAAAGGGGGAGCATCACTGTCTTTTTCACACCCTTTGAGTGCCTTCTGGCCACCAGTCTTTCTTTCGTCCACACGCTTGAAGTCCTCCTGCACCCAGCTGGACTAGTGACTTCAGAGTTCACAGGCAGGTTCACCCTGGGATCCTGCCCAGCAGGTCCAGGTCACGCTGATTAGTGTAAGCGACAGCCTCCCACAATCCACTGCCAGGGAGTTCCTGGGTGGATCTGAGTAACAGATTCCTCCTGGCCCAAAGGCCAGGCTTTTTTTTTTCTTCTTCACAGCTTTCAGGCAAGTATTGGATTTACAGACAGTAACTAGGCCCCAGAACCTGTGGAGATACATTTCCCTGGTGCTGCGCTCACTTGCCTCCTGGGGAGGTAGTAGGAATGGCTTGTTCTGCTTCTAAACAGGCCGCCAATCCACAGGAAGCCCGGACGGCCCTGCTCACAGCAGGGATGGGGCGCAGAGGGGCAATGCTGGCTGTAGAACACCCCCCTGCAGGGGGCTGGGCCAGGGCTAGGGAGGTGAGTCCCGGGTCAGGCCATACTGCATGCTCACAGTGTGGTCCAACTCCTCCAGCTCTGCAGGCAGTGGGATGCCCAGCTCCCCCAGGTATAGGGAGAGGGCCTCAAAGGAGTCCTCCAGTTTTGAGAATGCTGGTCTAGAAGGAAAAGAGGTAAATTAGAGGCAGGTAGAATATGAGCAGGGCCATGGGGTGGGTGGCAGGAATCTAGGCTCAGCTACTTCCTGGTTGTATGACCTCAGGTAAACTCCTTCATCTAGTAGTGCCTCTGTGAGAAATGGACATAATGTTACTGCTACCTCATATATCTGCTATAAAGTTTAGATAACACTATGAGAAGGCTGGCCTAGCTGGAGTTAGTACTTAAAAACAATAGGAGAAAAGGTCCCTCCCATGTCTTAGAGAAAATGCAGTCATCAAAGGTGGAACTGGAAACATCAGGCTCCTAGTGCCATGGAAATGGCTTGGCTGCCCCGAAAGCCTAAGACAGCTCAGGCTTACTCTTCCTCCATGTTTATGCTTAAATGTCATGTCACCTCAGTGAGGCCTGCTCTGACTACCATATTGAAAATTGCAACTTGTACCCTAAACAATCCTCTTTACTTGGCTTGACTCTTTTTCCATAGCATTTGCCACATTCTAATATTCAATATAGTTTATTGTATCTACTGTATGATACAGTAGATACCATGCTACAATCTATGTTCTATGAGGATAGGCACCTTTATTTTGTTCACTGCTGTAACCCACGTGCTTAGAACAGTCCCTAGCACACAGTAGGCATTCAATACTATATATATATATTTTTTAAATAAATTAAAGATATTTAGAATGACTGACAAGAGGTATTAGAAAACAAATACTGTGTAGCTTCACAGTTTCTCCTCAAGCTCTTACACTGGTGTTACTGAAGGATTGCGGTCCTTGGCCTATAAAGGAACAAGGTATAGATTCTCCCACCAGAAAATTTCAACTCTAATGTGGACTGCTGAAAATAATTTTTAAATAGATTATGTGCCAACTGGTTATCCTGGGAGGGTGGAGTTGGGGGTGAGGAGAATGTTGAGAGGTATATTGGTTAAGGGAGATTATAGAAGACATATTTCCTACGCTATAAACTTCGGTAATGTTTGAACTTGTTTTTAAAAGAAACATGATTTTTGATGGCAGGAAAAAAACCCCACAAAAGATTCTTTTTTTTTTTTTTTTTGAGACAGAGTTTCACTCTTGTTGCCCAGGCTGGAATGCTATGGCATGATATTGGCTCATTGCAACTTCCACCCCTGGGTTCGAGCAATTCTTCTGCCTCAGCTTCCTCAGCAGGCTGGGATTACAGGCACCTGCCACCATGCCCGGCTGATTTTTGTATTTCTAGTAGAGATGGGGTTTCACCATGTTGGCCAGGCTGGTCTCAAACTCCAGACGTAGGTGATCCATCAGCCTCGGCCTCCCAAAGTGCTGGGATTACAGGCATGAGCCACCGCTCTCAGCCAGATTCTAGTTTTTTAACCACAAACTTGAAAAAACCTAGGGTAACTTTGGTAATAATGAAATGATCACCTGAGAAGAATAAAGGTAATTTTGAAAATACTTCTTTAAAGGAGAAATTAGCAAAATGCATAAAACTGCTCACTGTAGTTAATACCTATTGTAAAGAGAAACTGGAAAAACCTGAACATCTACATTACAATATGTTCAGACAGTCTCTCACTAGAATTTCATGTTGTCGACGAAAATGATAAACAGGAAGACTGCATAGTAACAAGGGAAATGCAGGACAAAATACAGAACTATTTACTATAGAAAAAAGTATATGTGTAGATATGGACAGGGGAATATCGAAAGATGAATACACTTACCGTATTCAGTGGGTTTGGGTGAATTTCCTTCTTTTAAACTTTCTTTTCTTTTCTTTTTTTTTTTTTCTTTTTTTTTTTGAGACGGAGTCTCGCTCTGTCGCCCAGGCTGGAGTGCAGTGGCAGGATCTCGGCTCACTGCAAGCTCCGCCTCCCGGGTTCACGCCATTCTCCTGCCTCAGCCTCCCGAGTAGCTGGGACTACAGGCGCCCGCCACCTCGCCCGGCTAGTTTTTGTATTTTTTTTTTTTAGTAGAGACGGGGTTTCACCGTGTTAGCCAGGATGGTCTCGATCTCCTGACCTCGTGATCCGCCCGTCTCGGCCTCCCAAAGTGCTGGGATTACAGGCTTGAGCCACCGCGCCCAGCCCATAAACTTTCTTTTAATGGCTGTGTGTCTGTGTCCTATTCAGCTTACTTGCTGCTATGACTTTACCTCTCTCTTCTCCAACCTGTACATATGAGTTGTCAGATGGCTAACGGGTTGACAGCCACATTCTTTTTTTTTTTTTTTTTTTTGAGACAGAGTCTCGCTTAGTCGCCCAGGCTGGAGTGCAATGGCGCAATCTCGGCTCACTGCAAGCTCCGCCTCCCGGGTTCATGCCATTCTCCTGCCTCAGCCTCCCGAGTAGCTGGGACTACAGGCGCCCGCCGCCTCGCCCGGCTAGTTTTTTGTATTTTTAGTAGAGACGGGGTTTCACCGTGTTAGCCAGGATGGTCTCGATCTCCTGACCTCGTGATCCGCCCGTCTCGGCCTCCCAAAGTGCTGGGATTACAGGCGTGAGCCACCGCGCCCGGCCGACAGCCACATTCTTGACCTGAAGGCTTCTCTCACCCCTGTGCTTACGAAGCACTCAGGGGTGGTCTTAGACTGAGGCAAACATCCCAGGACCCTGCGATCTGGGAGAAAGAGGCAGGATACCAACCTGCTCTCAGGCTCCAGTCTGCAGCAGATGGCGGCCAGGGGGAAGAAGGCTGGGGGACAATCTGTGGGAACAAACTTCTCCCAGAAAAGCTTCACGTTAAGGCCAAAGTCCAGTGTTCGGGGAAGGCAGTCAGGATCTGCATACACCTGCCCAATGATCTGTAGGGTAAGAAGACAGCTGTTTACGAAGGACTACAGAGGTCACAGATACATGGCAAGGGAAAGGGATGCTGGATGTGGACAGTAAGGATGGGCAGAAGAGGAGGTGGTAAAACAGGTTAGAGAGCTCTCCTCAATCCCCAATCATCTCTCCAAATCTTATAATCCAGATCTGGATCCACTGAGAGTTGAGTTACTGAAGAGGACTGAGAAGGGGCTTCACTGCAGAAGCCAAGTGTTCCAAATCAGCATCTGGAAGCTAGCAACTTCCACTCATCCCACGCTGCCTTGTCTGTGTCTCCTTGTGGCTGTGTGTCTGCCAGAGTGAAGGCTCTCTGAGGTGCTGGATCTGATTCATGTCTGAAACCCTTTAGCACCAACCTAGTGCTCTGTACACAGGTGTTCAATTAATATTAAAGAAAACAATTTTTAAAAAAAATCTTCCTTCACGGCCAGGTGCAGTGGCTCATGCCTGTAATCCCAGCACTTTGGGAGGCTGAGGTGGGTGGATCACCTAAGGTCAGGCGTTTGAGACCAGCCTGGCCAACATGGCGAAACCCTGTCTCTACTAAAAATACAAAAATTAGCCGGGCACGGTGGCGCACACCTGTAGTCCCAGCTACTTGGGAGGCTGAGGCAGGAGAATCACTTGAACCTGGGAGGCGGAGGTTGCAGTGAGCCAAGATCGCACCTCTGCACTCCAGTCTGGGCGACAGAGTGAGATTCTGTCTCAAAAACAAAAAACAAAGAAATTTTCCTTCATTATCCTAACCATTCTTGTCTCTCCTCTCCTCTACCCATCACAACTTTCTAGGAATTACAGTAAGGCTTTGAATGTGTGTGTGTTTGAGTCTTTGAGATATGCTGAGATAAGCTGTCACCTGACTAAACTCCTAAAGGTAGGAATCTTTCCACGATTCCTCACTCTTTCCACGTGGTACCTAGCACAGGGCTGGCACTTCCTAGAGTGGCTACTTCTACTTGAAGGGAACTGAGAAGGGCTACATTTGGCCCAAGAGTTAGCTAGACAGCCACATGAACAGTCTCTTGCCCTTCCTTCTGGAATTCTGAGTCTCACCTACCCCTTATTGACCATGTGTAAGCCACTGCCCTCTTCTGAGCCTCAGTTTCCTCAACTAAAAAAAAAAAAAAAACACAACACCTGGCCGGGCGCAGTAGCTCACGCCTGTAATTCTAGCCCTTTGAGAGGCCAAGGCGGGTGGATCACCTGAGGTCTGGAGTTAAGACCAGCCTGGCCAACATGGTGAAACCCTGTCTCTACTAAGAATACAAAAATTAGCCAGGCATGGTGGTGTGTGCCTGTAGTCCCAGCTACTTGGGAGGCTGAGGCAGGAGAATCACTTGAACCCAGAAGGCGGAGTTTGCAGTGAGCCCAGATTGTGCCACTGCACTCCAGCCTGGGCAACAAAGCGAGACTCCATCTAAAACAAAAAAACCCTGCCAGTCCTCCTCTTAGGACCAATGAAACACGAATGTGGCAAAGATGTGCAGATGCGTTATAAACCATAAAACCCTACACCCATGTTGATTTTAGTCAAGCTAGTCATCCCTAGAAGGAGAAGCCCCAGTTCTGAGGGAAGGCAGAGCTGCTAGGCCTGCTGCCTCAGGCATGGCCTTGGTGCCAGAGCTCACCTCACAGAGAACGATCCCAAAGGAGAAGATATCCACCGTCTCATCATAGCTCTTTCCTTGGGGAACACAGGAGAGCACGCTGTTAAGTTTACATCCCTTACCTGCTCTGCACTGGGTCTAGGGTCAATCTAAGCCACAGCTAAGAACCAGGGCTAGAACAGGTTCTGCAGGGACACCCCACAAGCTGTCCTGCACAGACATCACCTGAAAATAGTCCTTCCTCAGCCCTAGGTGACCTGCCTTGGAGAGCCCTTATAACATAACACTGCCTAGGATGAAACTGCATGTTAAAGTGGAAAAGAACCAGACTAGGATTCATCCAGGCTCTGCCATTAGCCAGCTGTGTGCTCCTAGGCAATTCACCGAATTTCTCTGGGCCTCAGACTCCAAAATGGATTATATTCAGACCATTTCTGAGGTCTCACAACCCTAATTTCAAGAATGCCAACCAGCATCTCTGGTTGGTTTGAGCATTATCCACCAGAGGGCACCACACTTCAGTTCTCACCACGGAGAGAGACTGCTAAAGCTGGGACAGTAGCCTGAGCTCTCAGCAATCCCTGAGGCACAAATGCCACAGTCAGACCTCACCTTATCCCCGAGGATGGGACACTGATTAGTTCCCAGCCCCCTAAGCTCAGGGAGCTAATTCGTGAGGCCCCTCCTGGCAAGGGAAAAATATCCTCAGCTCTGGGTATCTGGTCCTACACTTCACAGGCCTCCCCTGGAGTTCCTAGGGCTCTGATGCAAGGGCGGCATCTGTCCTCCCTCTGCAGGTGTCCCCTCCAGGGCTTCAGGACTCACCATTCAGCATCTCAGGGGCCATCCAGTAGGGGTTTCCCACCACCGTGTAGCGCTTCTTGCGGTCGTTCTTGCGCAAGGTGCGTTTCTTGGTGGTGGCCTTCTCCATGGGGGGCCTTTTCCTCTCTTCCACTATGAGCCGTGACAGCCCAAAGTCTGCCACCACCACAGTCTTGTCCTGGTAGAATAAAAGCAAGGTGGGGACTTCGTGGGGATGTTCTCAAACCTGGCCCTGGGGAGGAGGTATAGGCAAGAGAAGCCACTGAGAAGGGGAGAAAAGGTGTACAGCAAGGGAGAATCAGAGCAGAAAGCTCTATCAAATAGACACACTCAGGCCGGGTGCGGTGGCTTACGCCTGTAATCCCAGAACTTTGGGAGGCCAAGGCGGGTGAATCACCTGAGGTCAGTTGTTCAAGACCAGCCTGGCCAACTGGTGAAACCCCGTCTCTAGTAAAAATACAAAAAAAAAAAAAAAAAAAAAAAGGCCGGGCGCGGTGGCTCAAGTCTGTAATCCCAGCACTTTGGGAGGCCGAGACGGGCGGATCACGAGGTCAGGAGATTGAGACCATCCTGGCTAACACGGTGAAACCCCGTCTCTACTAAAAAATACAAAAAACTAGCTGGGCGAGGTAGCGGGCGCCTGTAGTCCCAGCTACACGGGAGGCTGAGGCAGGAGAATGGCGTAAACCTGGGAGGCAGAGCTTGCAGTGAGCTGAGATCCGGCCACTGCACTCCAGCCTGGGCGACAGAGCAAGACTCCGTCTCAAAAAAAAAAAAAAAAAAATTAGCTGGGCATGGTGGCACACGCCTGTAGCTCTAGCTGCTTGGGAGGCCAAAGCAGAAGAATCACTAGAACCCAGGAGGTGGAGGTTACAGTAAGCCAAGATCGCGCCACTGAACTCCAGCCTGGGAAACAGAATGAGACTCCATCTAAAAAACAAAACAAAACAGAAAACGCATTTGTTTCTGAGGGTCTGGTATCTGAGCACAGCAGATTCCTAGCCCACAGTGGGGTTCATGGCAGAGCCACTAGAGCCCTGGAGGTGAGGTTCAGGGACTTGGAGAGTGGAACTCAGAGGTGGGACAGGGGGTTGCTTTTGTTTTTCCCCGTCCAGCCTTATTCCTAAAAGGATTTCAGGCAGTGGCTAGAACCAGGATAAGACAGAAAAAGGCAAGGAGGAGGCAGTAGGTGGGGAGACTTGGGGGAGACAAGCTCTTTGAATGGCTACAGGGCAGTCATGTGGGAAAGGAATGAAGATTGCGTGGTGTGGGTCTAGAGGGCAGAGCCAGGGCCAGCTGGTAGACACCCAGGAAGTCAGATAGCAAGTCAATAAGACAAATAACATTGTAACCACCACAGCTGAGGCGCAGTGGGAGGAATGCTCGTCTCAAACTGGTCCCTGAAAATTTACTAGCTCAGTGGCCTCAGGCTGAGGCTTCAAGTGCCACCACTGTAAAACGGGGTCAGCAATAAGCTGCTTTACAAGACTATTATGGGGCAAAAGCAGGTAAAACGACAGGGCTCTACATATAGTCAACAAACTTCTGAATGATTTCAAAGGTTGCTAATGAGAGAAGGTAAAATTATGTCTGTGTGTCTCTGGGAGCTCCCAGAAGACAGAGAAGGGCATTGGAAGAAGCAGGATAGGAGCTTCTAGGCAACACCTCTGCCCTCTAGCCAGAGGGGACAAGTCAGCCTCCTTTGTGACAAGGAAGCCAGGAAGGATAGGACCCTGGAGGCCAGGCCCAGAGCAGTGGGACATACCAACTTGATGAGGCAGTTGTGAGAGTTCAGATCCCGGTGGATGATACACATTGAGTGCAAATAGGCCTGGAACAGAAGCATGAGCTGAGGCTAAAGGACTGGCAAATCAACTAGACCCTGATTCTGGAATTGGGGGCCACAGATGCTCTCCTACCAGGCCATGCCCACCCAGCTTCAGAACCCAACCTGGACAACAGGGCCAGGGCCTCCTGTGGTCACTCCCTTGTTCCAACACTAACAGGAAGCCTGGGCTTCCTCTGCTTCTCTGCTGCCATCTCCTGTCCATCCTTTGGTTCACCAATCACTAGCACAGTGACTGGCCAAAGCCCTCACTGCTCTCTCCTTGTCCACAACTTCACAGAACCCTTGACGTTGCAGCAGTCCCTCCACCTCTACCCACTTTACCCTGATCCAGGCTGCTCCCTCCTCCCCACTCTCCCGATCCCTGGCTTGAGCCACTTTGAATCCTTCCTGCGTGCAACAGAGAAGTGACTTCTTGCTCCAGCTAGCTGTCTTTCAGACATTGACTTCCCCTACGACTCCACTTTCCCCAACTGTCTAAACTTTAAGCTCTCCCCCTTCCTACCAAAATGTTTGTAAACAAATTTGTTTGTTATGTCCCCTCTCCAGGCCTCCACCACTGGTTCTTGTCACTCTCAGGAGCAACTTCCTTTCTCCTTCCCTTCCCTTGCAAATATAGAAGGAGCCACTCCCTGCTCTCCAGCCCCATGCAATACTGCTTTCATCCCTTAGGCTCCTGGAGCTGCTCACACACCCAGGGAGCTCTTCCTGAATCACTACAGCTCATGACCTGCCTGCTTGCCTGTCTGAGGAAGTGCTCCTCAAAGACTGTCTACACCTTTCTTATGCTACCTGCTCCTGAGACTCTTGTGTGTCTGTTTTTTTCTTCCAGCCTTTTCAATGTCAGCCCTGCTCAAAGCCATCTCCTTTTCACAAGCTGAGACACCCCTACCAGCCACATGGATGCCTCTTCTGTCCCACAGCTCCAACTGCCCCTTCTCTGCAGATTAGGTGACTAGCAGCCTCTCCCTAAGCTCTAGTCTCATGGAGCCAGTTTCCTGCCCAGATGATGCTGATAGGTTCTGCTAGCACAGAACAGCAGGCATCAATGTAGCTCTTCCCAAACCGGTTCCTCAACCATCAGTGCCATCCCCCATGCCCCAAAACGTCTGATAAGTGACACCTCAAGCCACTCGTAACTCCTCCTCCTCCTCCTGTTCCCTCACTGCCAACTAGTCTCTCCATTCTGACTCCACCCTGCCTCCCAGGCTCCTGTCCCCACAGCCACTACCTTAATTCAGAAATCTGAAATGTGTCATTAGCCCCCTTTGCAGGTCTCCATTCTCTGGACCCTCCGCATTCCACCTCAACCTACTAACCACATCAGACTCTCTTTTTTTTTTTTTTGAGATGAAGTCTCGCTCTGTCACCCAGGCTGGAATGCAGTGGTGTGATCTTGGCTCACTGCAACTTCCGCCTCCCAGGTTCAAGCTATTCTCCTGCCTCGGCCTCCTGAGTAGCTGGGACTATAGGCGTGCACCACCGCGTCCAGCTAATTTTTGTATTTTTTTCTTTAGTAGAAACAGGGTTTCATCATGTTGGCCAGGCTGGTCTCAAACTCCTGACCTCAAGTGATCCACTCACCTTGGCCTCCCAAAAAAGTGCTGGGATTACAGGCATGAGCCACTGTGCCAGCCCAGACTCATTTTGGAAAAACCACAACTCTTAAGCTTTCTTGCTTAAAAATCTTTTCCTGCCAGGCACGGTGGCTCACAACTGTAATCCCAACACTTTGGGAGGCTGAGGCAGGAGGAATGCTTGAGCCCAGGAGTTTGAGATTAGCCTGGGTGACAAAGTGAGAACCTATCTCTACAAAAAAAAAAAAATTCAAAAAATTAGGTGTGGTGGTATACACCTCTAGTCCCAGCTACTTGGGAGGCTAAGGCAGGAGGATTGCTTGAGCCCAGGAGGTCGAGGTTGTAGTGAGCCATGATCATGCCACTGCACTCCAACCTGGGCAACAGAGCAAGATTCTGTCTCAAAACAACAACAAAAAAACACCCTTCCTGATTCAAGCCCCAGAAACAGGAAAAAAAAAAACAAAAAAACCAAAAAACAAAAACAAAAAAACCAAAAAGCCAGTCAACCAAAAAACTCTTTTACATCTGTCTCCTAAATATAGTCCACAACTCCTTAGCTTAAAACACAGCGACCCTAACGTACCCCCAAACTGTTCCAGACTACTACTATCTTTGTGGACCCCCATGTGAAGGGCAGTGGCTAAAGTCTCAGGTTTGGTAACCAGACTGATGAGCCCAGGATCCCAGCTCTGTCCCTTTCCAGTCCAGCTTATCTGGAAACTAAGGTGGTTATGAGGAATAAACATGCGCATGCACATTAATCCCTCAGTTCAGTGCCTAGCATATAGAGGGCACTCAGTACTTGTCAGCTGTTATATTTCTATGCTTGGAATCATTTGTTTCCAGGTAAAATAGATGATTTTCTCCTCTTTCCTGCCAGGTCTTTGCTCCTGTCACTTCAATCTTGGAGCCTCTCCGCCAATAGAACTTTATCCAATTCTGATCCTTCAGGGCTCCGCTAGAACTCATTTCCCCTTCATTGATTTCCTAGGCAGTGAGGTGCTCTACTTGGTCCAAGGGGCCCTCAGCACCTGAACACCTGTGACGGCAAGCCAGGGCCATCTCAGGCTACAGTTGCCTCTCTAGTTTGCCTTGTCTGTGCCCTGTTTGCTCTTAGAGATGTGTAATTCTTTGAGAATAGGGCTGTGAGCTGAGAACAGTTAGCTGGGGCCAGTTTCAGTGGCAGAGACAAATTCAATGAATAGCTGCTGACCCAGCCCACACAAGTGGCACAGGAAGGGGTCTCTACATTCCAATGAAGCCCACAATTCTCACATCTCTCCCTACTCTTGCCCTGCTGGCAGGTTTGTTGGTGGGACTCACCATTCCGGAGGCAATTCCTTTGGCAAACCTGACCTTCTGCTGCCAGGGGAACGGATCCTGCAGAATGGGGGAAATGATTATCAGAGGTTGTTGAGCCCTATCCCACTCATGGTCCAGGCCCTATGGGTCAATGTGGTCTCCTAGTGAAGCCTCCCTGTCTATGCTCAGTCCCACCCAGCATGGTCCTTTGGGGGCAAAGCAGGGCCCCTCTGGCCTTTGACCATGACAACATACCAAGGCTCCTGGAGACTATGGGGTGGTGTACTCACCATATTGCGCAGGAAGTCCTTCAGTGTGCCCCCCTCAATGTACTCTGTCAGCAGGTTCAGCTTCTTATCCTTGTACAGCACACCAATGAACTTGAGCACATTGGGGTGGTCCAGGCTGCGCATCACTTTCACCTGGGGGTCAGGGAAGCCAAGGAAAGCTGGCTGTTAACTTCTATGTCTTCCTTACCCCTTCCCTCCAGGGAATCAGCCTGACAAGTGTTACCACCTGTATCTCCTACTGCCTCTCTTGTGATATGACAGGGCACTAAGATCAGGATGAGGGAAGACCACCACCATATAGATGGAGATGGCTTCACGGACCTTACCCTTGGGATCCTGCCTTTCTAGGAACTGCACTGGGGGAACTGGGGTGGGAGTGGCCAAGTAGCTTGGAGGGCAGTACCCGGACCACAGGTGTCCCCAACTGACGTTGCTCCATGAAGTAACTTGGGAGGGATGGTGAAAACTGTAAATGCCCAAGGAGTGTGAGTGCTCAGGGAGCTCCCCCTCCAGGTTCCCTTAGCAGGGCATTCAGGTAAGGATTATAACATCGAGTTGTACTAAACTGGCGTGTTTTCATGTCCATCATCCTCATAACCTGAGAGCTTCTCTGAACCATATATCTTTTGTTACTGCATCCCTTGTATCCTCTTTGTGTTGCTTTTAGTAAGTGTTCATTGAACAAATAATTATGCTGTAATTTAGAGGGAGTGGGATATTCCTCTAGGGCTCTTTTCTGCTTAGTCTTTAAGACAGTGATTCCAAACTGTATTTCCTCTTGAAGCCATTATTTGTAAGGTCTTCTCTCTTCCAATGGTGACACCAACCTCCCGGGCCCCCTCCATCTTCTTACCTCAGTCAGAAAAGTTTTCTGGGTCTCCTCATCACATCGAATTAACTCTTTCATGACCATCACTTTGCCCGTGGCTTTGTGTGTCACCTACAGGGAGGGTGACTGTTAACGGTGCTGAGACCAGAAGTTCTGGAGAACTGTTTGAGAAAATCTATGCAGCTGGCCATCCCATCCCTTGGAGGGCACACTGAGCCGGGTCAGACTGACAGAGTTCATGTGTGGAAGATGCAGCGTGGAGCAACGTGGGACTCAGATGGAACCATACCCTCTTTTCTGGAGAGGTGGGCATGCACGGAGGAGAGGCAAGAACCGAGAAAAGGGAAGTGGGGAAGGAGGCAGGAGGGGATGCTGCCAAGCCAAGCAGGGGCTCTGGTCATCTGGCATAGGAGTGAGTCTCTTGAGTGAACAGAAATCTGGGGGCAGGAAGGTCAGTGCCAAAGACATGCACCAGGGAGCTGGGTGGGTCAGGGGTGAGCTCTCCAGCCCTGCTGCCCCTGCAAGCTGAGACACATGGCTTACCTGACCCCCCCTCCCAGTTCTCAGCAGAGGAGGAGGAGGAGGAGAGAAAGAGAGAGGTTAGTCCCTGAGACTGTTCACCAGGGAGGCAGGAGCCATTCCCGTGTGCTCCTTGTAGCATGCCCGGTACTGAGGTCTGTAGGCACCTAACAAACACCCACTGACTGGAGGCAGGAGAGCCACAGGCACAGCTCAACCCAACCTGGATCTCTAGGTCCACAAGCTCACTGTAACAGTAACACTGACCTTAGGTGGCCTGGGTAGGGGTGAAGCCTCTCACACCATCACCCAAAGCCAGGAAGGAGGCCTGGCGTCCTGCAGGGTGTGGGGTGGGGCCAAGTGATGAGAAATCCCCGAAAGACATTGAGAGAGGGACTGGGGGCAGAAGAGCAAAGTATTTGCTACCTGCGCTCACCTTGATAGCCTGCCCAAAGAAGCCCTTCCCCAGGACCTCCCCGTGGATTAGGTCACAGGGCCGGAAGATCTGCTGTGAATAGCTGCTGGAACAACGAAGGGATTCTGAGCGGCTGATGTCACGGCTGAACAGCAGGGGCTCCTTTGGGGAGCTGGGGCCAGGGGACCTGGAGATGCTGTTACTGCGCCTAAAGATGAGGAAAGATGGGGGTAGGGATGCGTAGTCCTCAGAGACTGGCCAAGAAACCCTGGAGGAAGGAATCTTAGGGGCACCTGTTCATTCCGGTGTCTATAGTTTAGATGTTATTATTGGGGAACAGGGGCTCTTACATCAGATGTATCATTTTGGGGTTGCTAACATCAGTCATTTATTTAAGCATAGTAAAAACACATTCAAAATGGGAACTCTACGTACATCACACATAGAACAATTAACTAGATTCTACTAGCTTATAATGCTCAGTATATGACATATATGACAAGACTGCAGATGGTAATTCACCATCTCCCATATTTGCTTGATTTAAGGTACTAACTGGTTTAGAGTGATAGTTATACTAGTATCCAAAAAATGAGCAAATGGGATTTTTTTTTTTTTTTTTTTTTGAGACAGAGTCTCACTCTGTCAACCAGGCTGGAGTGCAGTGGTGTGATCTTGGCTCACTGCAACCTCTGTCTCCCTGGTTCACATGAGTCTTGTGCCCCAGCCTCCTGAGTAACTGGGACTACAGGCATGTGCCACCAGGCCCGGCTAGTTATTACTATTATTTTTGAGACAGAGTCTTGCTCTGTCGCCCAGGCTGGAGTGCAATGGCACGATCTCGGCTCACTGCAACCTTCATCTCCCAGGTTCAAGCAATTCTCCTGCCTCAGCCTCCCAAGTAGCTGAGACTACAGGTGCACACCACCACGCCTGGCTAATTTTTTTTTTTTGACAGAGTCTCGCTCTGTCACCCAGGCTGAAGTGCAATGGTGGGATCTCCACTCACTGCAACCTCTGCCCCCCGGGTTCAAGCGATTCTCCTGCCTCAGCCTCCCAAGTAGCTGGGATTACAGGCACGTGCCACCACGCCCAAATAATTTTTGTGTTTTTTTTAAGTAGAGATGGGGTTTCACCATGTTGGCCAGGTTGGTCTTGAACTCCTGACCTCACAATCCACCTGTCCTGGCCTCCCTAAGTGCTGGGATTACAGGCGTAAGCCACAGCACCTGGCTCTAATTTTTGTATTTTTAGTAGAGATGGGGTTTCACCATATTGGCCAGACTAGCCTCAAACTCCTGACCTTGTGATCCATCCGCCTCGGCCTCCCAAAGTGCTGGGATTACAGGCGTGAGCCACCATGCCTGGCCAGCAAATGGGATTTTGGATGATATTTTGCACATCTTTGTACCTGTCCATGTTTCCTGAATTTTAAGATGATAAGCATATATGATTTTTATAGCAATAAAGTTACTATGTTTACATTTTCAAAAGCGGTAGATAATAGTCATGGTCAATGACTATAGTTTCACTTACTGAAGGAGGGACAAGAAGGTTGAAGTCCACAGCACTGCAGGTGAACAGCCCTGTGAACTTTCTCTCCGGGGTATGCTCCTGCTTTACTTGGGCTACCCAGAGAGGACTGACGCTGGATGCCTCTTGGCTTGTCCTGCCCTACAGGTTTTCTTACCCTTGTTCTTTTGCTCTGCCTCCTGCTGACCATGCCCACCAGAGCACACAAAGTTAGCTGCCCCCCTCCTCTGCATGGTGGCTCTACAGGTATCTGGCCACTCCCAAATCTTCCCTTTTCCAGGCCATGAATTTCTAGTTCTTCTCTGCCCTATGTTGCCCTGCCTCCCACTAATTTCATCATACTGATCAAGGCCAAGAGGCAGTGGGAGTGAGGGGAGCAATTTGAGGGGAGGGCACTGTTTCCAACACATGCCAGCTGAGAGGGCCCTAACTTTGTTTGGTGAGGAGAGTGGATTAAAACAAACAAACAAACAAAAAACTACCTTTTTTGGGGGGGACAATGTCTCACTCTGTTGCCCAAGCTGTAGTAGTGCAGTGGTGTGATCAAGGCTCACTGCAGCCTTGAACTCCTGGGCTCAGGCAATCCTCCTCCTAAGCCTCTCGAATAGCTGGGATTACAGGCATGCGCCAACATGCCCAGTTAACTTTTTTCTTCTTTGTAGAGACAGGAATATTGCCCAGGCTGCGTTTGAACTCCTGGCCTCAAGCAATCCTCTGGCCTTGGCCTCCCAAAGTGCTGGGATTACAAGTGTGAGCCACAATGCCCTGCCCATCTAATTAAAAACAATTTTTTTGGTAGAGACAGTGTCTCATTATGTTGCCCAGGCTGGTCTCAAACTCCTGTGCTGAAGCAATCCTCCTACCTAGGCCTCCCAGAGTGTTGGGATTACAGGCACGAGCCGCCATGCCTGGCCAAGAACCTGATTCTTAGTGATACTAAGAATGCGTCACATTTACTGAACGCTGTCCCTATGGCAGCACCATACAACTTTATGTCCTTTTCCACATTTAAGTCTTACATAATTGGTGAGACAGCCACCTTTATCTTACCATCTTACGTCACAGATGCAGAAACAGGCTCAGAGAAATGAAGTGATTTGTGAAGGGAGGAGCTCAGCCTGAAACCCTAGTAGGGTATCAGTATTTCTGCCTGGGAGCCAGTGCTCTTGACTTCTTTTCTGTAAGTCTCCCTACTTGGGCCTTCCACTCAAGGTAACTGCTCCTTCTCCATGGACCTGGCAGAATCTGGGGTTTGGGGGTTGTTGGTCCCTCAAGTCTAAAAAACTTTCATTCATCTTTTACTTTATTGTTTTCAAAGTCTTTCTACACAATTTATTCAATCCCATCTGTGCCCCTACTCCAGGCTCTGAGCTCCATGCTGTCTCCACAGGCCATGCTGTTCTTCAGGGTATAGCATCACCACCTCCTGTCCAGCTTAGGAGTTTAGTGCAGAGCCTGACCCTCCGGTTTCTAAGGAAACCTGGCAGACAGCTGGTCCACAAAGGCTCTGGCTATAAACTGTGATCCCCACAGGGGCAGCTGGGTCAGCACAATCCTCATAGTTTGTCCCTGGCCAGCTGGTTCCTCTCCTAACTCTGCAGGCTTCTGAAAGCCAGCTCAGCTTCATCTGAGAGACAGACATGGGACAGGACAGAGCCAGGGTGGGAGGTGGCACCTCAGGGAACGTCTCCTCAGTGTCCCCTCCAGATTCTCCTTGGTGTCCAGGGTGCTGAGGGTGTGGGGGTGTCCGGCATTCTGCATGTGAGGAGCGAGCTGGGCCTCCAGCCGCAGCTGGTCCAGGCGTTGGGAGACGGGGTCATGTTCAATCAACAGCTGAAGTGTCTGGCTCGTCTGGCTAATTGCATCCTCCACCTGCGGCCAAGAGCAGTATAAAGCTCCCACAGGCTGCCCCATCCCAGGCCACCCATGGCCAACCCAGATGACTCAGGCACAGTGTGGCCAGTGCTCAACTTGGCTAATGGTGGCCTCTAGCTGTCAGTGGCCTCACAGTGCCCTCTGCCTGGCATCCTGTCAGCTCTCCCATCCGTCAACCATCCCTGCTACCCTGGCAACCTGTTAAGCTGTAATAGGTCATCAGTGGTCACAGGCTCAATGCTAAGACAAAGAGATGGGCTGGCGGTAGGAAAAGGTAAAGGCTATAGCCTGATTTCCCAGAGGATCTATTCCATGTCCCACCCTCACAAGACAGATTATACACACACTCTACCTCCTCCACTCGAAGTGTGCGGACCGGGGTCCCATTGATCTCCAGGATGCGGTCCCCAGGGTGGATGGCATTGCGATTGTTGGGACTGATGTGCATCCGGTTGACCCTGGGCCAGACAAAAGTTGAGGCAGGGTAAAGATGTCCTAAAAACCTGCTTGACCAATTCTGCTTGTGCAGGGAAGGTCCCAGGACACCAGTTGCCCCTAAAGGGCCCAGGATATCCACATGGAAAGGCAACACCTTTTCTAGGATGCCCCATCTCAGTGAAGGGAATTGCCACCCACCCTGTGGCCTAAGCCAGAAACTTGGACATCATCTTCCCCATTTGGAGTTCCCTCATCCCTCTCCTACTCCCATCTCTAAGAACTCTGCCTTCTTTCCATCATTGTAGTTATTCACATCTCTTACCTGGATCACTGTAATAGCTTCTTTTTTTTTTTTTTAACTTTAATTTTTTTTTGAGATGGTGTCTTACTCTGTCATCCAGGCTGGAGTGCAATGGCATGATCTGGGCTCACTGCAACCTCCGCCTCCCAGGCTCAGGCAATTCTCATGCCTCAGCCTCTTGAGTAGCTGGGACTACAGGCGCCCGCCACCGCGCCCGGCTATTTTTTTTTGTACTTTTAGTAGAGATGGGGTTTCACCGTGGTCTCGATCTCCTGACCTTGTGATCCGCCCGCCTTAGCCTCCCAAAGTGTTGGGATTACAGGCGTGAGCCACCGCACCCGGCCTTATATCTGGACTTTTAATTTTAAAAAATAGAGATGGGGTCTTGCTATATTGGCCAGGTTGGTCTTGAACTCCTGGCCTCAAGCAATCCTCCCACCTCAGCCTCCCAAAGTCCTGAGATTACAGGCATGAGCCACCATGCCCAGCCTACAACAGCTTCCTAACTGGTCTGTATACCTCTAGGCTTTCCCCTCTCCAATCCAACCTCCGTACCAGTGATCCTTCTAAAATGTTAACTTGGTCACAACAGCTTGCTGCTTAAACTCTCAATGGATCTGCTGGATCTTCATAATCCAGGCCCTCTGTATGCTTAACAGCCCCTTTTTTGGCCACACCCAACCTACATCAGACATGATTAAGACTCCCACTTTTGGAGAATGTTTCTCCCTCTGCCCTGAACACAATTCCCTCTCCTCTTCATCTAATGAGGTGGTAGAACAGACTTTAGCTGCTCCTGCCTTCCCAAACTCTAGTATCTTTCACCTACTGTGCAAGCACTAGCCTAGTGTCCAACACATGGTAGATGCAAAATCAACATTTACATGGTAAGCAGCCAGAGGTACGACATTACTGGTATGAGATAGACACAGACTCTTTCTCCATCTGGTCTCTGGCCTCAATCTAGGATAGGGTCTTAACTTCTTTTGGGCCATAGACCACATTTTCTCCGTTCACTCTCTCAACTGACAAAATAATAATCAACCAACTCCTACTATATGCCAGGTACTGTTCCAAGCCCTGGGCATGCAGCACTGAACAAGACAGCAAGTTCCTTCTGGAATTTACATTCTAGTGGAGGGGAAAGAAGATAAACAACTAATACACATAATCAAGCCAGATAATTTCAAAGAGCAAACATGATCTGAAACCTGACACCTGAAAGATGAGTGATTCTGGCCTTAAGTATCTGGTAGGAAGTAGCCTGGACAGAGAGAACAATAAGTGCCAAGGCCCAGGTGTGGTTACAGCATAGTGGGGTCCAGGAGAAAGATATGAGATGAGAATAAAGGGAGTTCTGCATGAGACTTTGGAGATCTAAGCCCTCTGAGGCCCATTTACAGACTCTGCTCAAGAACCCCTGCTGAAGGGTTCTCAAAATACTTACTCTTTCACTTGCACAGTGGTGGCGTAGTTGGAGCAGGCACTCTCCACGGACACAGAGAAGCCCCGCCTGCCTTCAGTGGTCGCTGGCATGGAGATGAGCGTGACAGAGTAGGGCAGCTGGTCCTGAACAGACTCTGTGGAGAGTCTCTCAAACATAGGTGCCAGCACCACCTCATTGTGGCACTTCCCACTGGGGAGAGGGCACAGGGGGGAGTATGATGCTAGAGTCCCATGCAGAAGCCCCCCAGCAACCACTGCACCATGTGGCTTTAAGCAACAGTACCTATAGTCTCACTACCACCCTCTTTGTCATGATTCTAGCTGGCTGCTCAGAATGAGGAGCCTGGGTTCTCAGGGTGGGCTGGGACTGGGGGTGCTGAGCTGGATCTGCAGCAAGTGGTATATTTGGAAGAACATTGGCCTGGGTTGGGGTGAGATGGCCTGGGTTCTCTTCACTCTGCCTTTGACTCACAATGAGAACCTTGCCCTTGTACTATTCTATTCCATGAGCTCCAGGCTGACTTCTTTCATCAACCAAGGTGGTTGGACAGGGTGAGCTCTAAGGGGTCTTTGACTTTAATGTTCTGGGATCCTCCTTGAAGGTGCCTCCCACTGGGAGGACTGCAGGGCAGAGTGAAGACATTTTCAAGGTAGGTAAGAAAAAAGGGTAGAGACATGTGTAAATCATTCTGCTTACAAGTTAAAGAGCTGGTTAAGAGCACTGCTGTGATAGGAATCCAATGCTCTGACTACACTAACACTCTGCCCAACTCACCCTGCCACCGTCCCTCCCCCAGGTCACTCTTATATGGGAGAGGATAGACAAAGGACTACCATCTTACCAGTAGAGGGTGGCGTGCTGCACCAGTGCATATGCATCCCCATCCTCGATGATCACCTTGCAGCTCATACAGGCAAAGCACTCTGGGTGATACTTGAACTCCCCAGCCACCTGTGAGCAGGTGGGGAGAAGGGTGCACAAAGGGAGGAAGGAAGTGAGTTATCACTGTTGCTGGAGTGAGGACAGGGGTAGGTGAATGACCTCCAATCAAGGCCCCAGTCAAAATCCACTCTTTCACTCTCTGCCCTAGAGCTTCCAAAGAAAGTGTCAGATTGGTACCTCCTGTCATTTCTGAGACTGCACAAAACTGTTTTCGTTTCAGTTATGAGAACAAGTCCCCAGAAGTAATCATCCCCACTAAAAAAGATCACAGTTCCTCCAATACAGGGTTAGCAAGTCTGTGACTATGCTTAAAGTCCTGTGTCCAGAGTGGGTATAAGAGGTAGCACCTCTCTCTGCCAGCCCATTCCAGAGTCTCCTTTTCTTATTCCCTGAACACAACCTAGGTATATCCTCCTTTCAGCCTATAACAGTCTCCTTTGAGGTCCTTATCCAACTATACTGTGTCTCCTCTCTGCCTGCCTCTCCTCCCACTCCCAACATTAAACTTTTTTTTTTTTTTTTTTTTTTTGAGACGGAGTCTCGCTCTGTCGCCCAGGCTGGAGTGCAGTGGCCGGATCTCAGCTCACTGCAAGCTCCGCCTCCCAGGTTTATGCCATTCTCCTGCCTCAGCCTCCCGAGTAGCTGGGACTACAGGCGCCGCCACCTCGCCCGGCTAGTTTTTTTTTTGTATTTTTTAGTAGAGATGGGGTTTCACCATGCTAGCCAGGATGGTCTCGATCTCCTGACCTTGTGATCCGCCCGTCTCGGCCTCCCAAAGTGCTGGGATTACAGGCGTGAGCCACCGCGCCCGGCCTAAACTATTAAGTCTTTGAGGGAAGGATCTTACCTTTCACTTAATAGGTGCTCAGCTGATACCTGCTGGTTGAATGAATGAATGAATAAAGGGAGATGCCCTGGCTGATGGAAAGACCAAAAGATGAACAGCCACGGGGAACTGGAAGCACTGTCAATGGACTGAACTGGAAGCACTGAACTGGAAGCCACGGGGAACTGGAAGCACTGTCAATGGACTGAACTGGAAACTCTGAAGACCAAGAGGGGCAGATATGAAGGGACTCACTCACCATAAAAGGCCCTGTCATCAGCAGGGAGCACCCATGACAGAACTCCCCAAACTTCCCCCAGTAGTCCTTGGGGCAGTAGAGCTTCCCATCTTTCTCGTAGTACCAGTTGGTGAGGGAATCCTGGCATTCTGAACACCTGAAAGGCAAGACAAGAACTGAAATTCTCCTGGATCCCTGGAACCGGGCCACATAGGCTGTCCCTGGCTCCTAGGTCTGACAACAAAATAGACAGTCCTCTTTGATCCAAAGCCAAGATGGGGGAAAGCTACAGCCTTGTGCTATCTCCCCAAGGGAAGCTGGTTCAGAGTGAATAAGGCCCCAGAAACCAGCTCTGTGTTGCCTGCCTCAGTGGACAGACTAGTGTTTCACAACCTCTTTGGGTCTTGGAGCCCTCTGAGAATTTGATAAAAGCCAAGAAGCCTCCCTTAGAAAAATGCACATATAAGGAAGATGTGTATATAATTTAGGTGGGGGTGTGTGTGTGTATATAAAGGATTCTCTGAAACCTATTTATGGCACCAGTTAAGGACCTCTGGTCTTGACAGATATTTCAATGAACAAAAGCAGTTTGATCATCTCCACTCTTCAAAACTGACCCATCACCAACAGCATTACCAATGTAATGTTCTTGCCAAAAATATGTTAAGTATAAAAAAACTAATCAGGCAAATCTAGAATGTGGGTTATTCTATAAGATAACTGGTCTTGACTCTTCTAAAAAGTCATGGGGAGAAGAAAAGGCACAGATTTAAAAAAGCCTAGAGACACAGCAACCAAATATGATGCCTACACCTTGGATTCAAATTTAGATTAAAAAAGGCAACAGCCATGAACATTTTTTGGAACTGAGGAAATCTGGATTTGGACTATAATAGTATATTGTAAAATTACTGTGAATTTTCTTAGATGTGATGATATTTGACTTATATAGGAGAATTCTTAGGAGAAACATATTGAACTATTTAAGGGTAAAAGTCAAGATGCATTTAAGTTACTCTGAAATAGTTCAGCAAAAATAAATAAATGAAAGTATATAGACAGAGGGAGAGAGAGACACAAAGTGGCATAACATTAACAAATGATGAATCTATGTGAAAGGTATGTAGGTGTTATTTGAACTACATTTTCAACTTTTTTACATATTTGAAATTTTTTTCAAAATAAAATATTGGGGAAGAAACCTAACATTCTATTAGCAACGTGTAAGATGTATATGTTTGGCCGGGCGCGGTGGCTCAAGCCTGTAATCCCAGCACTTAGGGAGGCCGAGACGGGCGGATCACGAGGTCAGGAGATCGAGACCGTCCTGGATAACACGGTGAAACCCCGTCTCTACTAAAAAATACAAAAAAAAAAACTAGCCGGGCGAGGTGGCGGCGCCTGTAGTCCCAGCTACTCGGGAGGCTGAGGCAGGAGAATGGCGTGAACCCGGGAGGCGGAGCTTGCAGTGAGCTGAGATCCGGCCACTGCACTCCAGCCTGGGCTACAGAGCGAGACTCCGTCTCAAAAAAAAAAAAAAAAAAAAAAAGATGTATATGTTAGATCCACAGCTTGCTGGGCGGGGTGGCTGATGCCTGTAATCCCAGCACTTTGGGAAGCTAAGATGGGAGGATCACTTGAGCCCAGGAGTTCGAGACCAGCCTGAGCAACATAGTAAGACCCCGTCTCTTAAAAAAAAAAAAAAAAAAAATCCATAGCTCCCTTCTCCCCTAATCACCTGGCTATGAATCCCACCTCTCAAAAGTCAGGTGTGTTGTCAGGACTTACCTGCACAACCTCCTCCTTCCTTCTGAGCTTCCCAACACACACAGCTAAGAGCTCATTGGCCTGCTGAGCCCATGCCATTTCTTTCCTTCTAGTTCCTTCTTTTCCCTATTCTCGTTGTCAAGGCCTTCCACCTTCCACAGTGGCCATATCGTTGTTTCCAAGAGGTTTCAACATTGCTTGGGTTGAATCTTGATCCTGCCACTTACTAGTTACGTCAACTTGGGCAAGATATTTTACTTACTTCTCTGGCCTAGTTTCCTCATCTATAAAATGAACTGCTGTGAAAATTAAAGGAAATAATATGTATTAAAAATATAGAGAGCAGCTGGGCACAGTGGCTCATGCTTGTAATCCCAGCACTTTGGGAGGCCGAGGCAGGTGGATCACTTGAAGTCAGGAGTTCGAGACCAGCCTGGCCAATATGGTGAAACCCGGTCTCTACTAAAAATACAAAAAATTAGCCGGGCGTGGTGGCACGAACCTGTAATCCCAGCTTCTCGGGAGGCTGAGGCAGGAGAATCGCTGGAACCCAGGAGGTGGAGGTTGTAGTGAGCCAAGATCATGCTACTGCACTCCAGCCTGGGTGACAGAGCCAGACTCCGTCTCAAAAAAAATTATGGATAGACAGAGATAGCTTATATAAAAGACCTAATATAGGCTGGGCATGGTGGCTCACACCTGTAATCCCAGCACTTTGGGAGGCTGAGGCAGGCAGATCACAAGGTCAGGAGTTTTGAGACTAGCCTGGCCAACATAGTGAAATCCTATCTCTACTAAAAATACAAAAATTAGCCAGTCATGGTGGCTTGCGCTTGTAGTCCCAGCTACTCAGAAGGCTGAGGCAGGAGAATTGCTTGAACCTGGGAGGCAGAGGTTGTGGTGATCCGAGACTGCACCACTGCACTCCAGCCTGGACAACAAAGCGAGACTCCGTCTCAAAAAAAAAAAAAAAAAAAAAAAAAAAAAAAAAAAAGACCAAATATAGTAGAAACTCAGTATGTGTTAACTTTTATTAAACATGATAATGACAATGTAATGGCAGTTCACATTATCAGCCACTTCCTGTCACTAGCTGGACAACTTCTCTTAGTAGCTTTCTCTCATTGAAAACAACTAATAGCATCCCATTATTACAAAGAGCCAATGTGAAGAGGAAATAAGCTAATGTATGAGAGAAAGTCTTTTGCCAGGCAAGTGCATTATTATAACTTGCTAAGCACTGCAGATATAAAAGATAAATACACAGGGCACCCTACTTCACTTTTCGTGAGCTTATGAAGAGTTGAGGAAGAGAAAGTCTAAATAAAATTCAACAATGCAAGGTGAGAGGACACAATGAGTTCTACTACTTCTGAGCAATGCAGGAGGTAGAGAAGAGGGGCAGGAATGAGTTGAAGCAGCTGAGCTAGGAAGTCTAGAGAAGCAAGTCCCTGAGAATTCCTTTATCTTTCTGGAGTGGCCAATTCCCCCCTGGGTGCTCAACAAACTCTGATGGCTATTTTTACCCTATAGCTTTTCCTACTTGTCTTATGGAAGGGGAACTTCAGGGTCTAGAGGGCTGGGTATGGCATGAAGAGTATGGCTGTGAAGTGTCTAAAAACTGTGCAGTGAGGATGTAGGCAGAGGGGAAGACTGTTCTTGGTATGTGGCTCACACTCCTCTCAATGTAAGATACATGTGGGATGAGCTCTAAATGAGGAGGAGAGAGATATGGGTTCAAGTTCTTGGGTGCTAACATAGCCTTGGACAAGCCCCTTTCCCTCTCTGGGTTGTTTCCCCACCTGTGAAACAAGGGGACACATAATACCCTGGGTCCCCTTAACCCTGTGCATATCTGTGTTTTTCCCTAGATGATCTGAGGTTCCACTCTTAGTACCACCATTTACCACCTAAGTGATCTTGGGCTAGCCCCTTCACTTCTCATTTGTGAAATGGCAATATCATCACCTACTTTCAAGGTAGCAGTGAGGATTTTTTCTTTTTTTTTTTGAGATGGAGTTTTGCTGTTATCACCCAGGTTGGAGTGCAGTGGCTCGATCTCGGCTCACTGCAACCTCTGCCTCCCGAGTTCAAGTGATTTTCCTGCCTCAGCCTCCTGAGTAGCTGGGATTACTGGCACAGGCCACCACACCCAGCTAATTTTTCTATTTTTAGTAGAGATGGGGTTTCCCTGTGTTGGAGAGGCTGGTCTCGAACTCCTGACCTCAAGTGATCCGCCCCCGCCCGCCTTGGCCTCCCAAAGTGTTGGGATTACAGGCGTGAGCCACTGTGCCTGGCCTGCAGCGAGGATTAAATGTGGTTCTGAAGAACTATGGGGTGCCCAACAGAGGGCTGGCAGTAGGAGCAGGGGCTTCCTTCTTGCCTCCCGTCTTCTGACTTAGAAGTTCCGGGGCAACCAGCTTTCTTCTTCACTAGATTGTTAGTTCCCTGAGGATAAAAACAGCATCCCACTTACTCTTGTTGGACTCAGCACCAAGCAAAGGACCTGGAAGAGCAAAGCTTTAACAAATGTTTCCAAACCAAAAATGGCAGGAGTGGCAAGAACCAGTAGCCCAGGTGGGGGAGCACAAGGGTTCCATGGCTCATGGCCACCAGGTCCTTTTTTTCTTCTGTGTGCAGACATATTTGCACCCAAATGCAGGCCTGGGCTTTGTTACGCCCTTGCAATGGTATGTACGCCGCAGGGCATGGGAGCACCAGAACACACCCTCCTTTCCATTGCCAATATCCTGCTTTTGTTTGCTGCAAGTAGCTCTGGCCAGGCCCAGGAGAGGGAGCAGGGAGAGAAACAAGTGCAGGCATGCAGGAGACAGCCAGGCCAGCCTGCTGGGAAGAACACCTGGCTAGAGAGCAATACCACCAGTCCACACATCTGTGTCAAGAAATGCCTTTAAAGGGCACAGCCAGCTACGTGGCCAAAACTGCCACAGATGTCTCTGAAGAACTGGAACGTGAACAGCTGATAGGACTGGGTATGGGTCCCTAAGCTGTGTTTTGCCACAGAACACAACTGGGTTCTTGGACCACTTAAGAAGTTGCCATGGTAGAGTTCAGAGTTCTAGCTTAGCTATCAATTAACAGCTACTATTTATTGAATGCCAACCATAATCCAGGTCCTATATGAGGTACCTTATTTATATTATCTCTAATCCTGACAACCCTACAAGGTAGTAGGATTATCCCTATTTTATAGAAGACTGAAAAGCAGAGTTAAAGTCAAATAATTCTGCAAAGTTGCCCAATACATAATTGATGAAGCTGGAATGTGAAGCTATGTGTGCTTGGCTACAAAGCCACATCCACTGTACTATGTCACTGGACTGAGACAGCACATCTCTCAACAGCTGAGCCTCAGGATTCTCACCTGTGAAAATAAGGAGGCTGGAGGCCTGACAGTTCAAGACCCTTTGAGTGTTAACACTTCATGATGCTTCTCCTTTACTCCAAGTACTGAATGTTAAATGGCACAATTCTCCTCCTTCATATACTTCACAGTGTTCAATTCCCCAGCAGTCTCTGTTCTTTTAAGCAAAGAATCCAGAACACACTCTGGAACTGTAAGGTGCTACTCAAACATGTTCCACCTTAGATTCTTAGAGGCCATGGACCCCATACGTTCTTCCGAAAGCCAAGGCTGTTTTTCTACCTTTCAGCTTTTGAAAGTTTCAAGTGAAAGTCAAAATCTGCCCTGGCTGTAGGTAAAAGAGTACCCAGCTGGGAGGTGGTGAAGCTGAGGTCTGAACCAGTCATTCCACTGTCCTGAGGAGCCAGAGTGAATTGAGCTGAAATCCTCAGGTCAGGGGAGATCACCTAGAAGCCTACATACGCTGAGGGTACGCCTAAGGACAACCTCCAAAACTCATCTTCCAAAACTATTAGAGGGGTTCCAAGGGCTTGGGCAGATACAAAGTGCACAGAACCCTGGTGGTCAGTTCAGTGGGCCAACCCAGATCCACACAGAGACCTTTTGAGTCAGCAGAGAACACATGAGTTTTTTTAAAAAAGATAATCAGTTGAGATTTTATCTTTCAAGACCTGGATCCATATTCCTTCTCTGCCATTTACTATCTGTGTCACCTAAGGCCAGTTACTTCATGACTCTGAGCCTCAGTTTCCTCACTTGTACACTGCTGGTAGTATCTTATGGGGTTATGAGAATTAAATTATGTACAGATGTCCTGCATGATGCCTGGCTCACAGCAGGTAGCCAGTAAGTATTCATTTATTTCCCTCCCCAATTTGAGAACGCCAAGGGCAAATGCAGACAGACCCCTTTTTCTCCTATGCCTAGCAATATGGACCTGCTTCTCAGCCCAGAATGAGACAGATTTCTGTAAGTAAGGTCCTAAAATGAATTATTTCTCTATTCAATTAGAAATCAACATTTTTTTAAGAGACAAGAGTCTTACTGTGTCACCCAGACTGGAGTGCAGTGGCACAATCATTGCTCACTATAGTCTGACACCCCAGGCTCAAGAGATCCTCCTGCCTCAGCCTCCTGAGTAGCTGGGACTACAGGTGCACACCACCATGCCTGGCTAATTTTTTATTTTTTGTGGAGACAGGGTCTCCCTATGTTGCCCAGGCTGGTCTTAAACTCCTGGACTCAAGTGATCCTCCAGCCTTGGCCTCCCAAAGTGCTGGGATTACAGGAAGGAGCCACCACACCCAGCTGAAATCAACTGGTTTTAATAGATTCCTAACAATTAGGAAATAGTTACTGTGCATCTACGATGTGTAAGAACAAGCAGGCAAGGTGCTGTGCTGAGAGAAGCCAAGTGAGATAAGACAGAGACCCAGCCCTCACTCACATCCAGATTCTTCAGACAAAAATGTTTACAGGTAAATTCTCAACCTTATGGGGTAAGAGAACCAGTCATTACTGCAGTGGATTTACACATGTTAAAGCATAAGCCCTCCCATGTCCTGATGAAGACCTGGCTGGATGGTCATCCCTTAACCTCCCGGTGAGCAGCCAGTTGTAGAGAAGCTTCTTTCAGCCCCCAGCCTCTGAATTGACTGGGCTGGAAGGAGAGAAAAGGAAGCTCCCTCCACCATAGCCTGAGGGCACCTGGAGAGCATCACAACTTGGGGATGCCAACTTTTCCCCAGGGCCCAGAAGGGCAGATATGACAGGGGCCTAGAGAGACTCTGTTCTGTAAGAGCTCAGTCAAAAATCCCTTTATTACTCCTCCTTCCTGCAGATCCTGTAGACTGAAACAGTCTGACAATTAAGCTGTAAGTATTATGGAGTATGTTATTATTGTTTTAAAAAATTAACCAAACACATAATGAAGCCTATGAACAGCAAGAAATAAGTGTTGCTAGAGTGCACTGATTCAGTTCCAACCAAAAACCAGGAAGACTGTAGTTTCAAGTAATTTGTGTAGTTGTACTGCAGTTAAAGACAGGGCCTCCATTATTTGGCAAATAATGGAAAAGAGCTTGTGTGCCTTTGAGGAGCCACATAGAAGTTGCAGAGTTGGGAACCACTCACCTGATCTAAGTCCTTCATTTTTCAGATAAGGAGAAAAAGAGTCCCGGAGGACCTAAGGCACCTGCCAAATGTTACTGTGAAGCTGGGCAGAGCTATGCATAATTATTTCCCTTTAAACATGGGTTGCTTTGGAACACAAAGATTAATTTGTTTTCTTCAAGAGATAACGTGTAAACCCAAGCTCATTAAATCAGTATTGGATATTAAGTGCAATTCTATAAAAAGAAAAATGCTTTAAAGATGTCCGACAAAAACCACTCCCTAATTTACCTCTTTTGTAAATTCCAATTTGAGGTATTTTCTTACTTGGAAGTACAGTGGTAATTGCATCTCACTCCTCACGTTAGTGTGGGTAGGAAAGACAGTGCATTCTCCACTGAGTATGTTTGGCCTATCAGGCAGAGGTGTATGGGACACAGAAGTTGTATTCTTCATTCCCTTGCTCCCTCTTTCTCCTTCACATGTCACGCCTGATCATGTCCCCGTGGAATCTGGTTGCGTCACTTTCCTTGCAACCACAGCCCCACAACTCCTATAGATTTTGTACTCCCCCAGAGGCCAAGGATCAAGGACTTAATTTGTTTCACAGAATCCAGCAAGGACCCTGTTCAGGAGCCCAAGAAGTCTGGCTTCTACTTTCTGCCAGGGACGAAACTGAGGCCCAAAGAGGAGCCCTTGAAGATACCCTATAATAAAAGACGGAGGGGCTAATGGCAGAAACAGTTTTCTCACCAGGTAGTGATGTGGCAATGGATTGACACCTGGGAGAGCAGAGGGTCTGGGTGGTCCCTCCCTGGGGGGAAAGAGCCCTGTGTGCCACCTATCTCTTCAGAAGTGACTTCAGGAAAGTGGCCTCTTATATGGGGGAGGGGAGAGTGTCTACAGAAAGTCAGTCAGAACCCCCCAGACTCTAGCTGGGCAAACGGAGCTTGGGGGGTGGGGGCAAGGTGATCAGGTTCTCCAGAAAGGCTGGGGCAGAACAAGACAAAGGGCAGGTGGACTTGGGTGGCATTGGTGGCCTGGCCCTTAAAAGTTCAGGTGGAGAGTTCATTATCTGCTCTAGTTCCACCTCCTGAGAAGTTGTGTCCTCCCTGGGTTCCCTGCCTCTCCAAGGGTAAAAGGGGTATAGTTTCTGGCTCCTAAAGGAACAACCCTTCCCCTAAGCGGCCTTCCCAGGATTAAAAGTAAGAGAAATTAATGAGGACCTGAAATGTGACTACTTCAACACTTGGCATCTTAATTCTGCATGGTAAAAGCTTTCTCCTAAAGTCAAGATCAATTTCCATTGGCTCTTTAGAAAACAATATCAGCCATACCTTCAACAAGTCAGGCAAACTATCCCTTTTTCTACTCTCTGCTAGGAAAGGAAAACAAACCTGATAATTTCCTCTCCACTAGGAGAAGAAAACAAACCTGCAGCCCCCGAAGAATGAGAGAAAGTCAGGAAGACAGAAAAAGCTGCCCAGTGAGGCTCCATATGTTAACTTTGTTGAAACTGGTTGCCTCATCTGTAAAATGGGGATATATAATCTCTTTAGGCTGTTGAGAGATTAAAGGATAAAGTGTCCAGCAGGGCGCTTGGTAGAGTCAGCATTGAGGACCAGTTCCCTTCCCCCTTCCCCCAGTCCAGACACCTCCCACCACTCTACCAGGGTCCAGTCATTCCACGAAACCACATGGTACACTGCTTTTCTGCCCAGGGCCTGGCCACCTGACTAGTATCCCGGCAGCAAGATCTGGGCGCTGGACCTAGTTTAGGGAAGCCAGAAGGGAAAAGTCGACAAGGACCACTGGTGAGGGGGAGGCAGCCTTTTTGGAACAACAGGCTGCTCCCAAAGAATGAAAACAAGCCCCACCCTAGTCTGGAATGGCTCCATTCAGAAGGGACCTAGAGGGCCAGAAACCCCCTGGGGAGTTTCTATGGGAGGTGGAGTGGGGCAATGAGCAAAGAAAGCCAGGTTGGAGGTAGAGTTTCCACATCTCCCTTTGAGAAGCCCCAGAGAGAGGCTCGTGGAGGTACTCAGGCCTAGGGACTGAGGAGGTGTGGGGGCTGGCCCAGCAGCTCAGGAACACTCCAAAGTCCATTGCTCCAGTCTCAGAAGCACTGGCCCAGGTCTTTCCCCAGCAACTACATTCACCTGGGAGCTCAGAAGCCCCTCAAGGTCAGAGGCTAATGTGCCTGCCGTTAAGAGAACAAATGTTTATAAGGTACCTATTGTGTACCAGGCTACCCACACCCAGGACTTGCCAGTTTCCACAGTTTGGCAAAACCTGCCCATCCTGCTTGTTGGGACAAATTTCTGGGCAGGCAGCATGGCCCGCAGGTAAGACATGTGAGAGCTAGAAACAGCACTCTATCTGTGCTATTCCCCCTGGAAGCAGTAACACCTAGAAGGGGCAGGTCAGTGGCATCTTTTGGAGGCTCTTTCAGGTTTGCCTGGGATGGAAGAGGAGCTGGAGCTCCCTAAGAAGTTCCTTCTGGGTATATCCCTCCCCTCACCACTTCCAGGACATAATGGGGGTACCTCACAAGGCCGATTCTGCTTGGGTATAACCTCTCCTGGCTTCTGCCTGGCAGAACTGATGGTAAAGGACTAAGTGAGAAGGAGATTTTGGGAGACCACCCACTTCTCAGGACCAGGGGCCAGGAGAGAGAGAGAGGGGAACTCGGAGACCAACTCACCGAAATGGGTCTCTGGAGGTGAAGTAAGCCGGGACTGACAAGTAACTCCCCATCTTCTTCCCACACCAGATAAACAGGCTCAGCTGCAAATCCGTCTATGAGTGCCTCGGGCCGGCTGTAGATGGCCACCATGACAGGCCCAGGGCTCCCAACACCTCTGGCTGCAGGCAGGCTGCCCTGAGTTCACCTCTCCCTCCGGAGCAGCTGGAGGAGCCTGAGGACTCCAGGCCACTTGCCCCCCAGCAGATTCCCACAGGGGCTCATGGCTGGGATGGCTCCTCCCTAGTTCTTAGAAGCTCAGGCGGCCCCTCTGGACTCGGAGAAAACGACCTCTTTGAGGAGGCTACATACACACTGGCATTCTTGAGCAAGGGCCGGTGACTAGCTAAGAAAGAAGCGCTGCTGTCAAGTTAGCCTTCTTCTTCAGTCCCACCCCTGAATGAGGGAGGGAGGGAGGAAGAGGAGGAGCTCCCGCAGAACCGAGGTGTGTGGTTGGAGCAGCTGTTAGGAAACAGACCTTGCAGGCAAGGGGTGGAGCTGGGATGGATCGAGGCTGCAGGCAGGCGCTGCAGACAATAACTGGGACCGACTGAGCGTCCATCCTGAGCTCAGGGAAGGGCAAGGCAGGATACAGGGTGAACATATCTGGCCCCAGATGTCCTCAAGCAGAGGAGCTGCCTACAGGACAGTAATTCTGCTTGGAGGTGGAAAAAAAAAAAAAAAAAGCAGAGGATGCCAGGTCCAGGAAGAGCTACACCAGACAGAGGGACCTCTGGTAGGAGAGGCAGGTCCAGAGAGCCATCCTAGCTCCGAGCTGACATCTGTTCTGTCCTGGCACTAGGGCTCCCATTCAATCCCTCCCTCTGCCTCGCCTGGGGACAGCCTCAAGAGCTGACCAATGGGAGGTGACACTTCCACTCCAGGGCAGGGCTGTGTTGCAAATAAGGAAACGAGTCCCAGGGTATTAACCTACACCTGATGTGTCTCCATGTGGTAAACACTATATGTACTCTTATTTCTCTGAGACAGGAATTATTCCCACTCTACAGACAAGGAAAGTGAGGTACAGAGAGATTACGTAACTCACTCAAGGTCAAAAAGGGAGTCAGTGGCAGGCCTGGGATTTAAATGTAGGCCCATGTGAGTTGGAGTAGGCCCCTAGAGCTGGAGTTCTCCCACTACCAGGCTTCATTCTGGCTCTTCAAGGAGAAAAATCTTTTCCAAAGCCCTCTGCAAATAGGATGGAGCCCAGGTTACTCTCATTCACTCACTATTCACTGGCTGTTCACACACAGAACACCATCCACTGGCCTCTGTGGACAGTAGAACTTCTTCTACTTGTCCAATGATAACCATGCTTTTCAAACTGAAAAATGGGGCGTGAGGGAGAAGGCGGCCTGGGGTGCCAAAAGGGATTGATAAGCCTAAGTATCTGGAATGGGAGCCCGCCTGAAGGGCCCCAGTTGTGATGATGACCAAACCAGAGCTTACCATGGAGAAAGCCCTTGTCTCCCTGCCTGCAGGATTGTAAAGGAAAAAGCAAGGCTGCTGGAGAAAATCAGAATACTAGGACCTCACTATTGGATTTGGGGCAGTGACATCAGCTTTCCCTCACTAGGCACACACCTCTCACCATTGTAAAGGGCCAGAAGTCACCCTGCAGCTTCTATGTCTTACTGTGAACCATGGCAGCAAAGTCTGATAAAGATGGTAGATGGGGTTACAAAGGAGCCTTTTCCCATTCCACCAACGGGGCACAGGGACAACAATGCATGAGATAAGAGCACATGGGTTTGAATACTGATAATAAGCTACCATTTATTGAGCAGTTAATATGTTCTAGGCCCTGTGTTAAGTGCTTAGCATCTATTATCCATCATATTTAAATTGCCAGTACATGGAGTAAATGTCATCAGCCTCATTCAACAGATTAGGAAATAGGTTCTGAGGGGTTATGTCACTATCCTCAAGACAAATAGCTGGTAAGTGGTGAGGGTGGGTTTTTTTTTTTTTTTTTGAGTCAGGGTCTCTCTCTGTCACTCAGGCTGGAGTGCAGTGGTGCCATCATGGCTCACTACAATCTCAACCTTGACCTTCTGGACTCAAGTGATCCTCTCACCTCAGCCTCCAGAGTAGCTGGGACGACAGATGCATGCCATCACGCCCAGCTGCAAGGCTGGGTTTCAAACCTGGTACATATGTATGGCTCTAGAGCACAGGTCAAGGCACTTTTCCTGTAAAGAGCCAGAGAACAAATATCTTAGGCTCTGCAGGCCATACAGATTCTGTTGTGACTACTCAATTGTGTCATTACAGAGCAAAAGCAGCCATATATAAAACATAAACTAAGGGACATGGTTGTGTTCCAATAGATATTTACTTATGGAAAGATTTTTTTTTGAGATTCAGTCTCACACTGTTGTCCTGGCTAAAGTGCAGTGGTACAAACATGGTTCACTGTAGCCTCAACCACCTGGGCTCAAGTGATCCTCCTGCCTAAGCCTCCCATGCATCTGGGACCACAGGTGCAGGCCACCATACCTGGCTATTTTTTTTTTTTGGTGACAGAGTCTCGCTCTGTTGCCCAGGCTGGAGTACAGTGTCATGATCTTGGCTCACTGCAACCTCCACCTCCCAGGTTCAAGCAATTCTCTTGTCTCAGCCTCCCAAGTAGCTGGGACTACAGGCACATGCCACCATGCTCGGCTAATTTTTGTATTTTTAATAGAGACGGGGTTTCACCATATTGGTCAGGCTAGTCTTGAACTCCTGACCTCAGGTGATCCACCTGCCTTGGCCTCCCAAAGTGCTGGGATTATAGGCGTGAGCCACTGTGCCTGGCCCTGGCTAATTTTTTTTTTTTTTGTAGAGATAGGGTCTCACTTTGTTGCCCAGGCTGGGACACTGGTATTTGAGTTTCACGTAATTTCCACATGTTACAAAACATTCTTGTGCTTTTTTCCCCCTAACCATTAAAAATCACAGGTCATGGCCGGGCGCGGTGGCTCAAGCCTGTAATCCCAGCACTTTGGGAGGCCGAGACGGGCGGATCACGAGGTCAGGAGATCGAGAGACGATCCCGGCTAACACGGTGAAACCCCGTCTCTACTAAAAAAAAAATACAAAAAAAAAATAGCCGGGCGAGGTGGCGGGCGCCTGTAGTCCCAGCTACTCGGGAGGCTGAGGCAGGAGAATGGCGTAAACCCGGGAGGCAGAGCTTGCAGTGAGCCGAGATCCGGCCACTGCACTCCAGCCTGGGTGACAGAGCAAGACTCCGTCTCAAAAAAAAAAAAAAAAATCACAGGTCATATAGGCCAGGCATAGTGGCTCATGCCTATAATCCCAGCAGTCGAGAGGCCAAGGAGGGCAGACTGCTTGAAGCCAGAAGTTTGAGACCAGCCTGGGTAACAAACCAAGACCCTATCTCTACCAGAAAAATCAATCAATCAGGCCGGGCATGGTGGCTCACACCTGTAATCCCAGCAATTTGGGAGGCCAAGGCAGGTAGATCACCTGAGGTAGGGAGTTCGAGACCAGCCTAACCAACATGGAGAAACCGTGTCTCTACTAAAAATACAAAAATTAGCTGGGCATGGTGGCACATGCCTGTAATCCCAGCTACTCGAGAGGCTGAGGCAGGAGAATCGCTTGAACCCAGGAGGCGGAGGTTGCGGTGAGCTGAGTTCGTGCCATTGCATTCCAGCCTGGGCAACAAGAGCGAAACTCCATCTCAAAAAGAAAAAAAAAAAACAATCAATCACAGGCCATATTAAAATAGGCAATGGGCCATAGCTTGCCGGCCTCTGTTCTAGAGCTACAGAGCTCAACTACTCTATTTACTACCTCTAATAGTGAAGAACAGCTCTTGGTGTTTGTGCAGAGCTCAGCCATATCTATCTACCACCACAAAGACACCACACTCTAGCCCCAGAGGCAGCCAGAAGAAGTAAGGACTGAACAGGTGCTCACCCTGCATTAAGCATTGCTTGCAGCACTACTTGTATGAATGAATTTTAACCCACACTATTCCACAGTTCTGTGATTTCTCTGTTTACAGATAAAGCAACTGAGGTACAGGGAGGTTAAATCACTTGCCTGAGGTCACTCAGCTGTAAATGTGAGAAGTGAAGCCAGGATTTGAACCCAGACTAGACGTTATAGACTACACTCTACCATGCTATATCGAAGCTCAGCCTGGGCCCAGAGCCAGACTGTCTGGGTTTGAATGCGACAATGCACTGTATGTAAGCCCTTGGCACAAAGTCTGGAACACATTAAAGGTTGATAAATGTTACCTATTAATATCATTAAGACTATTGTTACAACTACTGTGGGCTAGCTATGTGGCCTTTAGCAAGTCACTGTCTCTGTCTGGGTCTGGGTTAGGTCTCTAAATAGCTCCCAGGATCAACATTTTTCACCCCTGTGAGGTTGCAGAGGGCTCTCTGTTTTCCTTGGGTCTCAAGTTGAGTTTAAACTCTTGAGCAGGAGGTCAGGATCCTGGCCTAGGGGCCACACAAGAGCCACAGAGGAGTTGAGGTGGGCTGGAAGTGGGGAAACAACATACAGGATACTGAAAGGGCTGCCCAGCTGGAGAGCTGGGAGCAATCTTTCTCCCAGCCACAGAATCAACTATTTCTCACCAAAACTCTATTATGTTCCCCTGTAATTCAATCAGGCAAGAAGGGGGCCCCAAATTAAGTCTGGAACTAGCAAATTATCTTTTAATTGTACCCTCTGATTTCCATGTGATGAACACAGCACTGATGGAAGAATATGCAAGCCACAAAGAGACCGAGGCCAGGGAGCCCATGAGCATAACTCCTCTTGACATTTCACACAGCTCTGCTGTTCCAGCGGCGGCGGCGGGCTCAGTGAGTCGGTGTCTAGGAATGTGAGCAGGAGGCTGCAGGCGTTCTCCTCTCCCCCTACTCCTCTTACAAAGGACTTGGTGGGTGGGTGAGGAATAAGGGAGAGGACATCTCAATGCCATGAAAACTGCCTTCCCCTGGAAGAGGAACAGCCTTCTCCCCATGTCCTGAGTTGAAGCAGAAGCCCCTCCCAGGTGGAATCCATTTGACCTCCATAAATCCAGACTTCAGGAGGAACCTTTGAAGGATTGATCACCAGATGTGATAAGCTGCTGGCTGCTCAGACGCAAGCGTGTGGTTCCTCAGAGCCAACTTCAAAGGGCCCAAGCTACCCAGCATTGGGAGATGAAATGTCACATTGGAGGATATATTTTACCCTCCCACCCTTGGAAACTGGTCCTGGATAGAAAACTGCTCTTCTAGGTCCTCAGAGCAGCTGGCAGAAGATTCAGCAGTTATGGCTGCCAGAGGCAACTGCAGGAATCCTTTGACTGGCAGTTATAGTAGGGATAAAATAGCAGGAGAGGTGTTAATCTCCAGCACATTTCATAAGTTGGAAACCTGGCAGGGAGCCGAACAAACT